GCGAGCTGCTCGTCCACGCCAGCCCGCGTGGGCCGGCGACGGCCAACGCGGCCCCGAGCCCAAGGACGCCAGCCTCCGCCTCAGCCGGTCGGTGAAGCTCGTGCCCAGCGTCTTGCTGCACTCGTCAACGCACGAGCGGGTCAGCAGCCCCCCGCACAGCCTCGCAACGCCAGAGCCCAGCGTGTAGCCGCGCAGCCTCGCAACGCCGCAGCTCAGCGCGCACCCGCACAGCCCATCAACGCCGGGGCTCAGCGCGCTGCTTTCGATCCTTACGACGAACGCGCGTACGAGATCCCTCCGGGATTGCGGGGCAACGCCGAGGTGGAGGGCGCGCAAGCCCGTCTATTCGCTGCGCTGGACAACCTCAGGACCATTCGAGCCCGCACAGCGGCGCTCGCTGCAGGGCTAGGGCTGCAGACTCGTCCGGCATCGCTCCTGAATGCTGGTGCACAGAACCGCCCGGCTCCAGCGCTTCTCGATCCGAGGGCAGTGCGTCCTCCGGTCCAGACGCTCAACGAGGTCCGAGCCGAACGTCGGCTGGCCGGACCATTCTACAGAGCTGGTCCCGAACGCGCTCCGGCCCAGCGTCCCGCGGCCCAACGTCCCGCAGCCCAGCGCGAGCCTGCTCAACGCTCCGCTGCTCAGCGTGCGCCGTCCCAGCGTGCTCCGGCCCAACCGCCTCGCCCTTCGGACGCTAACCCTCTAGCCAACCCTTCTGACGGCCGTGTCGCTGGGAGCCTCGGTGGCATCCGAGATAGCTTGCAGGGTTTCTTCGGCATCTTCCAGGGTCGGGCTCAGTCCGGCGCCGACGCAGCCGGGAACGCCAGCGGATCAGGGGCCCGCCCAGGCACGCACAACGAGGGCGGCGCCGCTGGCGCCCGTCCGCCGGGAGCACGACGTGTCGCCGGCGAAGACTCGGATTCCGACGAGGCCGTCTTCTACGACTACGATGAAGACGTCGGCGACGCAGAGGCGCCGCAGTCGCGACGCGATGGTCGTGCGGTCCGTGAGTCCGACGGTCAGGATGGCCGCACGGCCTCTGGCAGCAACAGCCGCCAGAGCGGTGCACCCTCTCACCGCCCCCCTACAGCGGCCGCAGGTCCCAGTCGAGCCGTCGCCGCCGGAAGTGGGCTTGCGCAGGCAGCCCTGCCTTCTACTGGTCTTCAGCAGAGTGCCTCGAGCATCCGCGATCAGCAGGCCCGACGCGGTGCCCAGGACAGCGATGACGACATCTTGGACGGCGACGACCTGCTGTACAGCGACGACGACATGGACAGCGAGGACGACTTCATGGCTGACATGCTCGAGGCTGCGCGCATGAGCCTCGGCCTCGGCCCCCACGACGAGGTGCCGATCGAGTACGTGGCTGGCCTCCAGAACACCGAGCGTGCCCGCCAGGGACAGAGGGCCGAGCCCGCACGCAGCGACCGCAATCGGCCCGCCGCCGCATCTGCCGCCGGCGACGGTGGAAGACCGCGCGGCGAAGGAGGACCGGCGCCGCCACGCCCCGCTGCCCGCAGTCAGCCGGACGCGGATGGCGATGTCGAAATGGGCGACAGTTAGGTGCGCCACGTCGAGACGGGCGACGTGGCCGGCGGACCTCGAGGCAGCGGCCACGGCAATGCCGCAGCCGACGACGACTCCGAGGGAGCCTACGCAGACGCCAACGACTTCCGCTGGTCGGTGCCTCCTCCGGCCCTTTCATCCACCCACCATCTCAACGCTCACGAACGCAGCAAGCAGCCAAGTAGGCTCACGCTCCGTCGCTGCATCTCCAAAAGGGACTCAACGGCCCCACCAAGCCCGCTCAGCAGGAGCAGAGCGCACAAGCGGCGATCCAGACCGCACGCAGGACCCCCCAACAGGGAGGGATCACCTATCGAACACAGAAGGCAAGGGCGCCTTGGACCCGACCGACCGAGCCCCCAAACAGACCCGGCACAAGACAAGACAGACTCGGCAGCATTCGTACAAACTTAGGTAGCATTCGACTCTCTGACCGCGACAACAAGATCGGGACTCGACACGATTCGATTCGGCCAGCGGCTCCTCTCTTCCCCCTCGTAGCACAGCATCCCTCTCTCGAACCGGTCCGGACCGGTATAGCCTCGCAACTCGTCCTCGTCACTTCCAAGCATGTACCCGTCCCGTAGTTAGCAAGCCGTGTAGATACCACCCCGCCCCCCCTGTTCACCATCCCCACGTTCCGGCTCCTTCGTCATCCAAGTTTTCATTTGTGTATAAACCCCCAGATCGGCGCGTGGGCGCGTGAGTGTGAGCGAGCGAGACGGGTTCTGGGTCAGTACGCGTTTGGGATCAGTGGACGGCTCGGAGGCTGCTGCAAGGCGGTCGGTTTCCGTCGGTCCCTCGGCCCGGGTTTCCTCCTCGCCCTGCTTTGGGATCCCTGACGACGCTGGTGTGCGTCTACCTCTGTCCACCTTCGAATCCCGGTGCGCCGAATGGCCAGCCATGCGGCGGTGGCGGCCCCGGATGCGGGTGCGGGTGTTGATGATGATGCGGTGGCGGCGGGAAGGGCATCATGCCCGCGGGAGGCATACCGCCATAGAAGGGGGGCGGAAACTGATGCTGCTGCTGCTGCTGCTGCTGCTGTTGGTGCGCCTGCGGCAGCGGCGGCGGTCTGGCTCCGAGCGACCCAGAGAGGATGGCGAGCATATCGTTGGGCGACGGTCCAGAGGCGGTGCTGGGGCTGCCGTCGCGCATGGCCGATTGGTGCAGCAGGCGCGCCAGGTCGACGTTGGACGGCACCGCATCCGCCTGCCCCGCTCCTCCCCGGTGCTGCGAGGGAGATGCGGGCGCACCAAAGTAGTGCGGCGGCAGCGGCGCTTGGTGCGCCCCGCTGTGGGGCGCCTGCGGCGAGTGGTAGGGCTGTGCTGTTGCCGCACTTGACCCGGGCGACAGCATCGACAGCAGCGTCTGCGCTTGGCCCGAGGGAGCTTGCGGCGACGCCGTCGGTGGCTGCTGCTGCTGCTGCTGCTGTTGCTGATGTCCGCCGGACGGAGCAGAACCGCCCATCAGAGCGGCAAAGACACTGTCCGACGATGACTCGCCGCCGGGCAGGCCCTTGCCGTGTTCGGCGTTTGATGCGGTGGCGGGCGAGTCGTGGCTCGAGCCGAGGCTAGTCTGCGACGGCTGCCGGTGGTGGTCGAGGAACGTCGACGACGAGGGAGAAATCATGCTGAGCAGCTTGGCTGCCTGGATCGTCTTCTGCGGTCGCGGCGCCGGCAGCGGCGACTCGGACGGCTGCGGGGGCGCGTGGCGCGGCGCCGCGGGGCTTGCTGGCAGCGGCGACGAATTGATCAGATCCAGAAGCGCCCGGTTGCCGCCGGCCGACAATCCCTGCGTCGCTCCACCTTGCTGCTCCTGATGGTTTCTGGCTGCCGCGCCGCCACCTCCGAGGCCGGCATTGAGGGCTGCCAGGAGGGAAGCGGCCCGCTGCTGCTGTTGCTCGCTCAGATGCTGACCACCGCTCGATGTACCCACGGAGGGGACAGCACCGGGTCCTCGGAGAAGGTCTAGCAACTCCTTGCCACGAGGATCGCCGCTCGCCTCGATCATTTTCGCGCCGAGACCGTCCAAACCGGCTTGGGAGCGGGGCTGACCCACCGGCACGGCATCCGTCTCCGAGGCGCCAGTGCCGAGGCCCAGCAGAGCCTTGAGCTTTTCGCTCGTGGGCGGAGCCGGCAGCGGCCCAGGCTTCTGTTGGCTAGTAGCACCGGTCGAGAAGGTGGGAAAGAGGCTGCTGCTGTCGGGAAAGGCGGGGACAGCCGACGCGGCCTTGGCCGCGGGCGCAGGCGACGACGTGGCTGCATCGTAGTCGGCCGCCGCAGCAACGCCCTTGGGGGCGGTCACTCCTGCGTCGCCCGCTCCCGGTGCAGGCTGGGCGGAGCGAGGCCGGTTCGGGTGGCTGTGCTTGTTGGCGTGGATCCACTGCTTGAGCCTGCCGATGAAGGGCGAGATGAGGTAGAACTTGCCGCCCATGCCCGGCGGCGGTTCCTTGCTCTTCTTCCACGTCGGCAGGTCGCCCAGCCGGAACCAGGCAATCTTGGAAATCTCCTTGCGCGTCTGCGCTTCGAACTTTGTCTGGTCGCTGACTCCGGGGACGATGTAGAGCCGGATCCGCTGCTCCCTCATCGTGAGGTCGAGGTAGTCTTCGCTGTCCGGCGGCAGGAGAGACTCGCAGTCGTAGCCCGTCTCCTCGAGGACCTCGCGGATCGCACAGTCGCGCTCCGGCTCGTCCTGGTTGATCTTGCCCTTCGGGAAACCCCAAGCCGCCGACGACTTCCAGCCCTTGACCAGCAAACACTTGTTCCAGTCTTGCGCGAGCAGGATGGCTCCGCACACGGGCACCCGCGTCTTGTACTTCATGAAGTCATCGAAGGCCGCCTCGAGATCCTGGTTGCCGCCGTTGCCGGTGATGTACCGCTGGATGAGGGGCACGGCGATCGACGACGTGTGGAGGAGGTACGACGAGAAACGCCGCAGGCCCAGCGATGGGAGCGACGGGTTGAGCGGGCGCAGAAAGTCTTCGTAGAACCAGTGGCCTTGCTCGACCTGGAAGCAGATGCGCTCGATGCTTGCAAGCTCGTCGGCGGGCAAGTTGACAATGAAGCGACTGCTGAGGTCCTCGAGCGTCTCGGCAAACGTGAGGCCCTTGTACGCAGCCATGGGGTCGCGCGACCCGCTGCTGGAGCTTGCCACGTTAATTGCTGGGCCTGTTGAACGTGGCGGACGGCGGAGTGCAGCAGGGCTGTCAGCAATTGACCCATGACGCGAGCAGCAAGAAGGGATGAAAAGCGTAGCAAGAAAGGGGCACGAGAAGGCAACATGGCTCCTCCTCGCAGCCCGGAGAGCACGAAGGCAGAAAAGAACAAAAAGGCCCGTTTCACCGACGTGCTCACCGAGTAGTCTTGTGTGCAGGGACGTCCAGATTCGACACCGCCGCCGGCCGAGCGATGTGCTGACAGACTGACCCTCCCGTCTCCGAACATCGTCGCCCCGTTCGCGCCACCCGCACTGCCCTTCTCCGGCCGAGGTACCGCCGTCCGAACAGCTTGCAGCACAAACTCACCTCCTTTGAAGCCCTTGTCTCCGCCGTGGATCTCAGGAGTGATCCAGGAGCCGTCTGCACCGATCAGAGGGCGGATGTAAGATATCCTTCTGTTGAGTCTCGCAGCTGCGGCTTCTGAGATACTGTTCGGAGCGGTCACTCACAGAAGTCTCCCTCCTGGGCGACGACCTCGTCGTCGTCGACCATCTGCCGCAGTGCGGGCGATGCAGTGGTGTCGAGACGATCTATGAGCAAGGGCGACGTCGTGGATAGGGTGCTCCGACTCGCCTCGAAGCTAAACTCACGCATTTCCAGTGACCGAGCCTGTCGGGGTCGGTCTTGGACGAGGCGTAGAAGCAGAGGTAGTCTTTGATCTTGGAGAAGGCCGGGGTGGGTTCAGGGTAGGACCAGATCCTGGCAGGCACGACGGGGCCCTGCTCCTCGCTGAACTGGAGGTCGTGGTAGGCGGCGGTTCCCTTCCACTCGCACATGGTCCTCCTGGCCTTTGAGGGGCGGATGAGGTCGGTGCGCACGCTGCTGGGAGGGAAGTAGTAGGTGGGCGGGTGCGAGGTCTCGAGGACGCGGTAGCCCTGCGTCGTGTCGGCAATGGTGAGCTCCTGCTTGGAGGGGGTGACCCAGATCACTCGCAGCCTGGCGCTCGTCGGCTGGAGGGCGGGGGGTCTGGGATAGTTCCAGACCTGCGATGCGGAGGTAGCACAGGCGGAGATCAGAGCAAGCTCGTGGTCAGCGTCGCTCGTCTTGCCGGGTTGGTAGGGATGGCAAACGGCAGCTGGCACCTGCCTGTCCTCACATTTTCCTTGGGCCTGGGTGGCATGGTGAAGGGTGGCGCAGTGGCCTTGGGTGCGGATGACGGACGCGGTATGTTAGACAGTCGCTATGACGATCGGAGTGTGTGTAGAATAGGCCTTGACTGGCTGCGGATGGCGTGACTGAAGCTGGAGGGTGATGGTTGTGCTGAGGGGGGCGAGGCGGTGCGATGGTGCCGTCTAGTTGGGCGGCGACCCAAAGTGGAGCAGGCTGCCCGCCTTGCGCCTGCCTGGCCTGGCCTGGCCCTCTGACCCTCGCCAAAGCGCGCGGCGCCTTTCAAAGAAAGCGGGGCCGCACCCGGGCAGCCCGCCCACTTTCGCAGCTTCTTCGGCTTGCTCAGCCACCGCCTCGATTCACGCCTCAAACAACACCGAGCAGAGGCAATACCCATCGATCGGTGCAACACGACCACGGATCAAACAGGAGCGATGCGGTAGTATACAGAGTGCAATGCATGCAAATGGGCAGGGGCAGGACAGGCAGACAGAAGCGGGGAGCGGGGATCCAGCAGCGAGGAGCGTACTTGGATGACCGAGGAGCTGAGGTCACGGGCACCGACGGGTGCCCGCGGGCGGCCCTCAGGCGATCCAGCTCTCAATGGTGCGCTTGAGCCACCAAGCGCTGACGTGGATGGGCCGCTGCAGAAAGGCGTCGTACATTTCGGCGCTGCTGCGCGTCGAGTCCTTGGACAGCTTGAGATCAATGGCGCCAGCAAACGACTTGGACGTCGACGACAGCGAGAATGGATCCACGTTGTTGATCGAATCGGCCCAGGTGCGGATCTGCGACGCCGGCACCGGCCGCTGGCTGGCGATCTGCTCCTCGTTGAACAGGCTGCCGTGCAGACCGTAGGGCACTGTCGTGACGAGGCGGCAACGATAGTGAAGAGGCCAGAATAGCATGTCAGCGGAAGACGTCCAATCCATTCACCGCCCTGATGCGCCCGAACGGTTCGTCTCCGAAGCTCACCTCTTTGCGGAAGCTTGATGCGGCAGACGACGTCCGTCATGCTCTTGGCATCGATGATCCACAGCTCGCTCGTGGCCTCCGGCAGCACCTCGCCAGACGTTGGGTGCAGGCCCGTCCTCTCGTCAAACGCGTAGAACATGAGCCATCCATCGTCCTCGGCCAGCTCCGCTTGACCCGCCTTCCGCGCCCGCGGGACAAGGGTGGCCTCCTGTGCGTACCAGCCCCGTGGCATCTCAAACACCTGGATCGTGTCTGGCGGGGAGCCCGGTGCCCGCTCTCGCTGCTGGGCGAGCACCTCGACGACGGTGCGCGTATCGACGCTCTCGCCGCGGCCGAGCTTGCCCTGGCTCCAGAGCTGCTTGCCGCGCCGAATCAGCCTCTCGGCGTCGACCTTGACCAGGCAGTCGATCTTGGCCGCCTTGGCCAGACCCGCGTCAAACGTGCCGTCCTTGAGAGAGGTGCCGTAGATGTATCTCGCCTCCTGCAGGCCGCGCTCCTCATTGATCGAGGGGAACTCGAAGGGGATGTCGGAGAGCGCAAACTCGTGGCTGATGACGTTCACGCGGTTCCCCTCTGCTTTTCCCTTGCTGCTCCGGCTTCGGGACGCTGCCACTTCGGCGACCTCTTCGGGCTCGGACTGAAAGCGCCAGTAGTAGAGCTGGCACTTCTCCGGGCAGTTGGCCGGAGGCAGCACGTGCGAAGGAGGGAGCAGGTTGCCTGCGCTGTAGACGAGCGTGGCGCTGTTGAGCCTGCACGCCAGCATGTTGACCGAGTCGTCCTCGCCATCCCAGCTGTTGGCCGTGTGGAAGACGCAGCAGGCCTCGGGGCTCTCGTACCAGCGCACCTCATCGGGCTGGTGGCGAGGAAAGATGCCAAACCGGCTCGGCTTGGTCGGGTCGTAGTCGAGGATCGGCCTGCCCTTGACCATGTTCATCATGTCGAGCGACAGCGGAAGGTCGAGGATGACGGTGCGGGTGCGTGTCGCACCAAAGTCGTGCATCATCTTGGGCTGCGACAGGCCTCGGACGGGCACGCCGAGCAGCTTTCTGGTGTTAGGCTGCGATCCCTTCTGCGTTGCTGGGATCACCGTGACCCGCAGAAAGGGCGGTTCGAAGCACATGTGGTAGAGCAGGAGCTCGCCGCTGATGGGGTCCACGCGGGGCTGATGAGCCGAAGGGAGGCGACAGGATAGGGTCAAGTCAGCATGCGTCGCACGGAGGACAATTGCAGTGGCCTTGACGCGTGATGTGCACTCACATGAGCCGTGGTGAACTCGCGCAGCATGCCCAGGATAGGCGGCCCGGAACCCCACCCTTTGCCCTTGCGCCCCTTCTCCTCCTTTGAGACGGGGCCCGCTGTTGACGCAGCGTCCTGCGTCTGCTCCTCGGGATCCTCCTCGCCCGTCCACCAGCCAGCGGTCTCGAGGCCAGGCAGCATGATGCGCATGGGCGGACCGCTCTCGCAGCCGGCCATGGCCTTGCCATCGTGCCAGTAAATGCTGGTGTTGGCCGCACCGATGCGCTTGAGCTTCTGGTCGCGCTTCAGCCCGAGGCCTGGCAGCCAGGTGAGAAATGCCAGCAGCACCGTCCTCAGAATGGCGAGCAGGACGCTGATGAGCGACTGCCTCGGATTGACGAGGGTCGCAATCGAGGGCAGAAAGGGGTAGCGGGAGCGCTCGGGAGTCGAGAGGACGAGGTCGGTGAGGATGTAGCGGTTGAGAAACGAAGGCTGGATGGTGCCGTCGGGCAGGGTGCGGAAGAGGACGCCGGCGAGCATGCCGTCTGCGTCGAACCAGTGGGCGTCGCGGTCGGTCTCGGTGTTGGCCATGGGGTTGCCGCCATTGCGAACATACTGGCAGCCCGCCAGCTCGGCGGGGATCTGGCCCGAGACGAGGCAGTCGGTCAGCGGGTACTCGAGCGTGACGGGTGCGTAGTTGCCCGAGAGGTAGGGGTGGACGGAGCACTTTTTCGAAGACTTGCTGCGCTCTAGCACGGGGCGGCGAGGGATGGCGTCGCCGTCAGGGATGACTGGCGGCTCCGTCGTCGACGAGAAGCTGAGGCCGGGCGGTGTCGGCAGGTGAATGAGTGGCGGTTTGGCGTGGCGCGGAGGCTTGCCTGGCGAGGCCATCGCCGCCCTCGTCTGGCGAGCACTTGCCATCGCCCCAGTCGCGAGCGGGTGGAGCAGCGGTGGTCGTCGTCGTCGTCGTCGTCGCTGTCTTTGTGGCACTCGCGTCAGTCGTTGTGGTGGGAGCAAGCCTCGTCGGTGCTCGCAACGGATCGCGATGGGTGGCGGATGGTGCTGAGAGGTGGACGGTGTCGAGGTCGAGAGCGAGGGACCGGCCCGCTTGTCGTCGCGAGCTCTGTTTCGAGCGCCGACTAAGTGTCGTCGTACTGTCGGCGGCACCATAGAAGGCTGGGCGAGCAGGGCAAGGGTCAGCATGGACCGCCTGCCTCTGCGTCTAGGCTTAGGCTCTCGAGCAACTCGAGCAGCAAGCGCTAAGTCGAGCCAGAGTTGCTTGGTGAGCGGGCTGACTGGATCGACCGATTTCGCCAGACCCTGAAAAATAAAGCGGCACGGCCCGGCGGGGGGGCCGTCTGGGCAAGAGACCCTGCCTGCGTGGAAAGGGCACGCACGGCTGCTGAGACAAGCCAAGCAGCAGGCGGTGAGCAGGCAGGCAGGGCAACTTCGAGAAGGTCAGCATGCCATGCATCCTGGCTAAAGCGGCTGGCTGGCCAGCCTGCTGCTTCGGGGGCGTTCCGAGGGGTGAGCAGGCCAGCTGGGCTCCACGATCGCCGCATCGAGGGCATGAGGCCACCAGAGGCAGGCCACGGCAGGCGAGGTGGAGGTTGAGTCGGCCAGGATGACGTCGGCTTGCGCACGTCGCCGGCATGCCCATCTATATGACGATTGTCCAGCGCTGGTCAGCCTGGCTCGGATCCGACATTGGCGTCTCTCACCGGATGGCCCCCCCTTTTTCCTGAGCCAGGCTTTGGCCCGCCCAACCAGGGGCAAGAGGAGGGCGAGACCGTCTCGCGCCCGCAAGAAGCTGCCAGCCCTTGTGGCGCTCACACGAGGTCAGAACGCCGCTTGTCAGCGCTAATTGGCAGCTCCAGAGCATGCCACCCCATCTGGTGCTCGAGTGCAGCGGGGCCTTCGAAGGTCGACACTACTTTCACGCACGGTTGTCCAAGGGACGAAGACGGAACCATCGGACTCGGAGACGCACAGCAGCGCGGAGCCAAGGATGTCTTCAAGAGATGAATTCAACAACAATTACAATGTCCCATGGAGATGGGGGAAATAGGTGAGATGTGGAGAGAGAGAAAGAGCGACGGATACAGGGGGGGGGACGCTTTTATGCTGCGAAGTGGCGAGTACGGAAGGTCGTGACTAGTATGTATCGTGAACGGGAAACATGCGAGGGGAGGTCGAGATCAAGCAAGGGGAAGCGGAGGGTAGGGACGCGGAAGACAGAAGCCAGAGGCGACAATGACAAGTGACAGGAGTCTTTTACGGAGATCAGAGGAACCTGCCAAACTTGGTGTTGTCGACCTTGGCGTTGGCCTTGAGCTCGCCGCGCTTGACAATCTGGTAAGTCTCGCCAGGGGTGACGTACGCGGCGGCCTTGCTGTTGACCCTCTTGGCAGCCTCCTGCGCGTTGAGCTGCTCGGCGGCCGCGGCCACGGCCGACGTGACGGCCGGAGGCGTGCTGTCGGTGGGCGTGGCGGGGCTCAGGTCCTCGTCGTCCGAGGTGACGGGCGACGGAGGCGCACCGGCGGGGCGGTTGCTGCTGGTGCCGTTGGCGCGGTTTTCGCGCTCGGCCTTGGCCAGCTCGTCCTTGGCCAGCTGGTAGCCGCCGTCGAGGACGCCAACGCGCATCATCGAGAGGAGGTTGTGTGCCGCGTTCGAGTGGTCGTAGACGCCGCCGAGGAAGGCCGTGGTGGCGTCCTTGCCGATCTTGGCGGTGAGGAGGTGGCGGCCGCCGGGGTGCTCGTCAATGAACGACGACACGTCGTGGATGAAGCCGTGGACGACAATCAGGGGGCGGGTCTTGGACTCCTCGACAAAGTCGTCCCACGAGATGACGGGCAGGTGCGACGACGACTTGGGCCACTCGAGCTGCTGGCCAAACTCGTGCGCCTTCTGGAGCTGCATCGCGAGGCGGCCCTTCTTGACCTCGTTGTCCGGGAAGGTCTTGAGGTGCGAGGCGAGGCCGAGGTAGCTCATCAGCGAGATGAACCACTTGGTCGGGTCGTACTGGTACCACTGGATGGCGTTGCGGAAGTCCATGGGGAACTGGTGGTGGAAGTTGTGGTAACCCTCGCCGATGGTGACGAGCGCGGTGACGAAGTGGTCGCGGGGCGTCATCTTGTTGTCGAACGAAGCCTCGCCAAGGTAGTGGGCCAGCGAGTTGACGCAGAAGGTCGAGTGGTGCACAAACACGAGGCGGGCGACGGCGGCGTAGAAGAAGCCACCCCTCCAGTCACCCCAGCCGAGGCCGGCGACGAGCGTGGGGAAGGCGAGACCCCAGAAGAGGATGAGGGGCAGGTAGAACTTGTGCTGGAACTTGATCACCGGGTTCTTGCGCAGGTCCGAGATGTCGGCCACACCGGGCTTCCTGCGCGGCTTGACGAGCATCCAGCCGAGGTGGGACCAGAAAAGGCCAAAATGCGCACCGTAGGGGTCGAGGTCGGTGTCGGTGTAGCGGTGGTGGGCGCGGTGGCCGCGGGCCCACCAGTGGATCGAGCCCTGGACGGCGCCGGAGCCCATGCAGGCGAGGAAGTACTGCAGTGGCGCCGAGGCGTTGTAGGCGCGGTGGGCCCACAGGCGGTGGTAGCCTGCGGTGATGCCGAGGCCGGTGAAGAAGTAGTAGACGGCGGCCCACGCGAAGGTGGCGGCCGACAGCTTGGTGGTGAACATGCCGTAGATGGCCAGGATCGGGGTCGAGGTGAGGGCGATGAACGAGACCCATTGGATCTCATTGAGGATGTTCTTGGCCTGGATCGGAGGGAGGGGCTTCTCGGTGGCCAGCACGCGTGCGACATAGTCGTCGGGGATGTTGGCGTCCGCGAACTCCTCCTTCTTCTCGACGGAGGCGGCCTGCGGCCTCTGCTTGAGCTGAGCGGCCATGGCGGCTGCGACTGCGGTGGTGGTCGTAGCGGCGGTGGTGGTAGTGGTGATGGTGGTGATGTGGATGTCAACGGCTGCGGTGATATGCCGAGCGTGACGGTGGGGTGAGAGTCAGACGCGTTCGTGAGGACTTGCTCCGGGCAGAGTCGCGAGAGCGCTGAGAGGATGAGGGGGGAAAGAGGGAGGTGGGGGGTATGTGGTAGCGTGAGCGGATGTCGAGGAGGAGATGGGCCGTCAGCGCTTGGTTTTATAACACTCGACGAATAGCGGTCGGCCAAGGCGGCCTGGCGGTGGCGGCGAGCATGGGGTGCTGGGGCAGGCTGGGGGCTACGGATGCCGGCGCGCCCGCTCTGTCCGATGGGAGCCCTGCCGTGGTACCGCGGCCCATACAGCACTGCTGCCAAAACTCCACGCTGGCCCCTGCTTGTCTGTTCAGCAGCGGCGACGGTTTGCTGAGGCCAGGCCTAGACGCTGGGCGTAGCCGCGGGGCGGTGATGGTCCGCCGTCCGGTCGAGAGGATTTGCGCTGTCGGCGAGGCGGAATGGCAGAGGCCGGGATACCCCTACGTGGCGGCGACACAGAGGCAGGCTGGCACCTGTCGAAATGGGCAGAAAATTTCGTGCCGTGGGGGGCAAGGTCCCAGCCGACCCGAATGTTGGGGCGGAGGATGGCGGCGAGGCCACAGCGCAGGCTAGAGGCCACCGTGCGCCGCCACCCGCCAGCCTGCTCGGCCACGCACACACGCACGCACTCGCCTCGCTCCGCCCCGCCTCGCCTCGCCTCGCCACGCTCCGCCTCAGCTCGCCTCGCCGCGCAACGGGTGGCAAATCCAGACGCCCCCTCTGGCGGCCACCGAGAGCTCTTTCACACACACGCACACTCACACACACGCCACCACCAACACCACCATCACGTTCTTCGAGTTCGTCGACGACATCATCCTGGCGTCACAAATGAGGCTGCTAGCGGCAAGCGAGGACGGATAGCTTATCGCCCGTCACGGCCAGGACCGGTTGCGACCCGAGGGCCCCCCATTGCCAGGCAGGCCACCCACCACCACCGCCCTTCCCGACCGGCCTCGCCTCGCGAGCAAGCTTGCTCGATGCGAGAGTGTCCTCGAGTGTCATCGGTCCCGTGTCTTTCCATCTCTCCTCTTGGTGCCAGGCTAGCTATCGTCGCTAGCACGTCCTCTTTCACGAGCTCAGGTGTACGGTACGGTATCACACAGTCACCTTGCTTGCCTTTCTTGATGTGATACGAATGGGAAGACCTACTCGAGTTGCGTTGCAGCGGTGTCACGTAAGAAGGCGCGGTACGGTACCAGCCGTGGGCCTAGGCTGGCCTGGCTGGCCTGGCTACCTGGCGACGCCCCTGCTTCGCCTTGACCTTGTCCTTGCCGCCGCTCGTTTGGCGCACAACGGATGGCCGGGGTGCGCGATACGACGGCGAACCACCGGGCCCTGCGCTCCCCGAACTGGCCCGACCGCCGGACTCGCCCCAAACTTTTTGGGGGGCGCCCGCTCAACATGTGAATAATCGAGCAGCCTCGGAAGTCGGAAAATTCCCTGGCTGCCGGCAGATCCTTTGACCGAGATTCGTTTTTTCTTCTCGGACGGGAAAGCAGGGCGACTGTGGCAAAAGCTCCGGCTCTCCGGGCCCAGTGCCACGCACCCGCATCTACTCGACGCACGGCTGGCGCTCGACGACCGCTCCACCAGGGCCAGGCTGAGCAGCGGCAGTCAGGTTGTGGCTCAGTCCATTCTCGTGACTCGTGACTATGACACAGTGACCGCCCGCAGGCAAGGTAGGCAGGCGAGGCAGGCGAGGCAGACAGAAAGAAAGCGATGAGTTGATTTGGGAGGGAGATCATGAGAAACCTCCGCGCTCGGTTGAATGACATGTGCAGGCTTCGTGACGTGATCTGTTCGTACAAGAGAGTGGACTGGGAACGAGGCAGGGAAGGGATGAGGGGATAGAGAGAGACCTGGATGCGACTACGAGAAGGTGAGTTTTGTTCTTGCTTCCTTTCACCGGTAGCGAAAGGAAGAGAGACTGCGAGAACTATGATACGGGGATGGAAGGGGGATGCGAGGGGCCATGGCCGCGGGGTAAAAGAGCGTACGTTGAAGTGCGCATGCAAGGGACGGGAGAGGGGGGCATGGCCTTCTTGAGACGAAGGGGACGGTGGAAGATAAGCACCGAGGAGAGGGGGGACGGATCAAGAGCCGGAGAGCGACGCGAGCTCAGCTCAGGCCGAGGGCTTCTTGATCGACGAGGTGTCGGGGACACCGGGCAGCGGGAAGCTGGTGGCAAACGCCTCGACGTCCTTGTTGAGCTGCTTGACGGCGTCGTTGTCGCGGGCGACCTTCATGAAGTCGACGAGCTTCTTGCCCGACACCTTCTGGATGTCGAGCGAGATCTGGACGACGCGGTGGAGGAACTCGGCGACCTTCTCCATGTCGCCCTCGGTCATCGAACGGCTGGTGAGGGCGCCGGTGCCGATGCGGACACCGCCGGGGACGAGCGCCGACGTGTCGCCGCTGACGGCGTTCTTGTTGAGCGTGATGTGGGCCAGGTCGCAGATCTCCTCAACCTTGGAGCCAGTGAGGCCGAGCGGGCGCAGGTCCCACAGGATCAGGTGGTTCTCGGAGCCGTCAGTCTGCAGCTTGTAGCCCTTGGACGACAGCACCTTGGCAATCGCCTGCGAATTCTTGATGACCTGGGCGGCGTACGTCTTGAACGCCGGATCGGCGGCCTGCTTGAGCGCGACAGCAATGCCGGCGATGGTGTTGTTGTGCGGGCCACCCTGGCAGGCGGGGAAGACGGCAGCGTTAATGCGGCCCTCAATGGTCGAGTCGCGGTCCTTGCGGAAGAAGATGAGACCGGCGCGCGGGCCGCGCAGCGTCTTGTGCGTCGTCGTCGTGACAATGTCGCAGTACTCGAAGGGGTTGTTCTGGACCTGGGCGGCGACAAGGCCCGAGATGTGGGCAATGTCGGCCATGAGGTAGGCACCCTGGCCCTTGGCCGTCTCGGCGAGCTTGGCGTAGTCCCAGTCGCGCGGGTAGGCCGAGCCGCCGCAGATGATCATGCGGGGCTTGAAGAGGTCGGCGTTCTTGTGGAGACCCTCGTAGTCAATGTAGCCGGTCTTGGTGTCGACCTGGTAGGGGAACGACTGGAAGTAGATCGACGACGCCGAAATCTTCTTCTTGGCGGTGTAGTAGCCGTGGGTCAGGTGGCCGCCCGAGGGCAGGCCGAGACCCATGATGCGGTCCTGGGGCTGCAGGAGCGCAGTGAAGGTGGCAAAGTTGGCCGTCGAGCCCGAGTAGGGCTGCACGTTGACGCCCCAGACGGCGGGGTCGAGGTTGAAGGCCTTGAGCGCACGCTGCTGGCAGAGAATCTCGAGCTGGTCGATGTACTCGTTACCGCCGTAGTAGCGGGCGCCGGGCAGACCCTCGGAGTACTTGTTGGTGAGGATCGAGCCGTTGGCCTCCATCGTGGCGAGCGAGGTGAGGTTCTCGGAAGCGATCAACTCGAGGCCAGAGAACTGGCGGTAGGTCTCATTGTCAATGATCCTCTGGACCTCGGGGTCCGCCTCGGCCAGAGGCTGGTAGAGGACCTTGTTCTGCAGCGGCGGGAAAGGGAAAAAAAATATCGGGGAGATTACAGGCGGTCAGCCATTGCGGCTCCAGAACGCTGGGCGGTGTGGGTCGCGAACCCATCATCGTCGACGTCGGTGCGCTTCCCGATGCTCTTCGCTACTCACGTAGTCGGTGGGGACGGCGACGGACATCTTGGTGGCGGTGGTGGCAAAGTGTCGTGGGGCGAACGAAGCAGGGGCAGCGCGAGGCAAGATGGAAGTGGTCGACCGGAGGAGGTTGGTGGCGAAACGGGCGGCGGTTGGCAGACGGGCGCTCATGGAGGACCAAGGGTTATATGGAGGTGGGGAGGGAAGGGAGCGGGGGAATGGGCCAGGAGCGAGGGGAAGAAAAGTGGAACGTGAACGCGCGATGGGGCGAAGGGCGGGGCGTGCGTGTGTGCGTTCGGTTCAGAGGCGGGCGGGCGGGCGAGGCAAGGCAAGGTAAGGCAACCGGCGCAGGGCAGGGCAGGGCAAGGCAGGGCAGGGGAGGAAGGGAAACTCGATGTGGCAACCGGGTACGAGCTGCGAACTTCCATCGATTGATAAGTGAAACGGCCGGGGCTCGCTCGGACGCTCCAGGGCTCGGGAGCTGTGATTCGTCGGACTCGAGTCAGGCCCACGTCGGGCGGGGTCACCGCCAGCAGCACACGTACAGCTGTCAAACCCGAAGGGAGGGCGGCGCCGTAGCCTGGCCTGGCCTGGCCTGCTCGAGGAGGGCGGGCGTCGGGCGGAAACATGCGCCCAGCCAGCTGCCACGGGCGAGCCTACGCCCTGACCCCCCCACCTTCCCTGCCTCCCAACGAGCGGAACGGTCATCCTTCGCACGTAACGGCGACGGCGACGGCGGTGGCGGCGAGCGGCATACCCTCTAGCTGGGCGGTGGCGGAAGCGTCGGCCTGGGCAGAAGCGGACGAGCGCGTGCCAGCGGCGAGCAGGCCTCGCTGGCCGGTGTTGGCAAAACTTTTCTTTTGCTCGCTCGCGGGCGGCTGGTTGTTCTTCTTCGGCTGGCGTTGCGGGCGCGCTGCGAGGGTCCTCGCTCTTTCGCCTTCTTCCCAAAAGAGGCAGGCTAGACCAGGCTGGAGCCGGGGCCACGGCGAGCGCCCGCCTGAGTCAAAATTTGCCAGCGTGCGAGCCAGCGACTGCACGCCGCGCGCGCAAGGGGTGGGCAGCCAGGTGCAGACCAAGCTGGGCTGCCGTCAAACGTGGTTGGAGTCGGGCGGGCGGACGGGCGGGCGGTCGGTCGACTTCCGGTCGGGTTTGCCGCCGCTGGGTCGGCCGGGCCCGCCGACTGCTGGGCACCCGATGGCGATCATGTAAGCAGGGGGGGAGAGAACTTCGACCTCGGACCCGAGAGTCTCAATCAATTTGTGGCCCCCCGCGATCGACCCGGCCTGGACTGATCAGACTCGGCGCCGCCTCCACCAGCAAGGGTCCCTGTTTGAGCGCTAGCCCTGAGCCCGACACCTAGACGACCGCCTTCTCTCCGTTCCACCTCAGCCATCGGCCCTCAACTTTCCACTCCTCGCACCGTTAGCACCATGCCAAAGGCAGAAGCGGGCTCCGCCAAGGCGGTGGCCAACGCCATGAAGGCGCGCGGCCTCACCAAGCTGCGCTTCTACTGCCAGGTGTGCTCCAAGCCCTGCCGCGACGCCAACGCCTACAACAACCATATCAACTCGGAGGCGCACATGCGCCGGATCGAGGCCCTCACGTCGTCGGGCAACCCCAACAAGATTGTCGACTCGTTCAGCGACGAGTTTCAGCGCGAGTACGTGCGCCTGCTCAGCCGTCGCTTCGGCACGCGGCGGATCAACGCCAACCAGGTCTACCAGGAGTACATCGCCGATCGCCACCACCTGCACATGAACGCCACCAAGTGGGTGACGCTCTCCGAGTTTGTCAAGCACCTCGGCAGGGAGGGCATCGTTCACGTCGAGGAGACCGAGCAGGGCTGGTACATTTCGTGGATCGACAACTCGCCCGAAGCCCTCGCACGGCAGGATGCGCTGCAGAAGATGAACCGCGCCAAGGTCGACGACGAGCAGCGGTCGCGCAAGCTGCTGCAGGAGCAGATTGAACGCGCAGAGAGGGAAAAGGCGGCCGCCGGAGGCTCCGCGGGCGACGTCGGGCCCAAGGTCGAGGAAGGTCTGAAGCGCGACGGCAACGCCCCGCTCAAGATTGGCATCTCGCTCGCGTCGAGCTCCAAGAAGGCGACAGCGGACTGCGAGACTGCCTCGGCCGCCACGGCCGCTTCTTCGTCGTCGGGCTCAGCTGAAGCTCCGGTCGCCGCCTCGCCCTCGGCGACGGCACCTGCTACGTCGGCGGCTTCTGCTTCGGCGACGCCCGCCTTCCGCATGGGCTTCAACCCGCTCAAGCAGGCCTCCAAGGCATCCTCGTCGGCACCGGCCGCTGCCGCTGCACCGCGAGCGTTTGGCGTCAACCCTCTCAAAGCCGCCTCGTCCTCCAGCACGGCTGCTGGCGAAAAGAAAAAGTCGAAGCCGCCAAGCTCCATGACGATGGCCGAGAAGATTATGATGGAAGACATGGAGCGCAAGAAGCGCAAGGCCGAGAGCGGCCGCATCGCCGGACCCACGATGCAGCAGAACGTCAAGCGCAGCCGCTTCTGATGTCGGTTGCCGCCGCTTGTCTCCATCCAGTCCGTTCGGCGCGCCGCCCGCCGATCCGCCGACCAGTTCCCAGCGCATGTATAGTACCGCTCACCGCCACTTGTACCACCACCGTCATGATACAGTCCTTTGTTCCGCCGCCCTGGTCAGAGCCTGCTCGTCGTCGCGTCGCGTCATTGCACCGCCAGGACGCCAGGCCGTCACGCGCGATGATATCCTCAGCTGCACCTCGCGGGACATCATTGGAAGCATCGCTGACAAGTCGAGTTGAGAGCGCGCGGGGAGGAAGGGGAATCTCTAGCTAGCGCTGACAAAGTTCCTCGCCTTGATCTTCTCCTTGTTGGCCTTCCTCATGGCCTTTTTCCGCTCCTTTTCCTCGCGCTCGCGCGTCTCTGCCTGGAGGTCGATCTCCCCGCGAACGGCTGCGTCCGCCAGGCCGGCAGAGATTGCCTCGCTGCTGAGGCCCTCGACGGGGAACTCTCCGTCCGTTGCGGGGGCGGCCTTGTTGAGGCCAGCGCCCGCCTTTGCCTCGGCCTTTTCCTTTGCCAGCTGGGCGGCGCGGGCGAGCTTGGCGTTGCGCTTGGCCGCGGCGCGCGCCTCGCCCTTGGACATTCCGGCCGTCTCGAAGGCGGCGAGGGACGAGGCAGAGGCGATCGAAGGGTCGTCGAGCAGCTTGAAGAGCCATGGTGGGTACGCAGCGTCCTCGAGCGCGACGGGGTCGGCCTTGTCTTTCAGGATCGAGAGGCCGGCGAGCACAGTGCCTGGTGGCGCGGCCGACGGGATCGATGGCGTCGATGATGTGCTCGCGACCGCTGTCGGCTTCTGTGCTGCTGCTGCGGCGGCGATAGCCGGAAGCGTGGAAGCGCGAGTCGGGAAGGATCCGGGTGGTCAGCGGAACCCTCGCGAGCCGCTCGGAATGACGATCGGCACCGTCTACGCACCTGGCTCAGCCTCCACCTCAGGCTCCTTTCCCTTGCCGCCCTTGGGCCCCCTAGAGACGATCCTTGACGTGGAAAAGGCGGCGCTGGACCTGTACGAGGGGCCAGCGGTGGCCTGGAGCGCCCTCCGCAGGACGGACCGTGTCGGTGCAGCGAACATGATGACGGGGGGGCGCAATAAGCTCAGGCGAAAGGCCAAGGAAGAGGTGCAGCAAGTCCGGCGCGCAGGTGATTGAGGCGTGAGGGTTGGAAGAAGGGGTGGCGTGTAGCGATCGACTGGATGTGATGGTGAGCAGCGGTCAGGAAGAACCGGAACGTATGGGGCGGCGATGCGGGTGGCTCCGCTTAGCGAAAAAGGTCGGGCGAGGCCGTCTCGGTGCCGAGAGGATTTGGCTGGCCAGGCCAGGGCCAGGGGCGGCGTCGGCGGTGGTGGGCGCAAGCACGCAGGCAGCCCTGTCTGCCAGCCAGCCTGGGTCCTGGCGAGGCGCGTTGCAGCCCAACACCCCTGCGCACGCCTCTCTACCTCACCTTTCACCTCTCACCTTCCACCCCGGCCTCCTCCATCCTTTACCCCGGCTCCCTCACATTCATCGTGGCCTGTCCGTCTCGCTCTCGCATTCTGCCTCACCTCGACGCGTTCGTAGCCTGATCCGCTCTGTTGCGTAGCACGCACCGAGTTCACCAGCCAGCCATCGCCCCCTCGTAGTCCCGCACCACACTCTTTCGACCGTTCGCTCTTCGTCTTCTCAGCATCTCGCACACTCCTCGTGGCGTCACTCAACACGTCCGCCGTCATCGACATTGATTCTGTATCCCAAGCCTACTTCCGAGGCTTCGCCAACTAGGCTATACCCGCGTTCGACATAGCAGCAGTCGCACACACAGAACGACCGCAAGCCCCCTCAGCCGACCCACCCGAACCACCCGGCCTGCGCGACGAGCGACCGCCCGACATGGCCGAGAAACGCAGATCGATGGCGCTGCAGTCGTCAAAGACTCGCAAGCGGCTGCCAACGCTTGCAGAGGTGCTGGCCCGCAGGACGTCGCCGCCCGTCGACCTCTATTGCTTCTACCTCTTCCTCCAGCGCGAGGGATCCGAGGACTCGCTCGACTTCTGGCTCGACGTCCAGCAGCACGAGAACCTTTGCCGCGCCTACTTCAAGGACCTGCGAAAGAGCGGCAAGAGCGTTCGGGACGACTGGCCGCTCTACTACCGCGAGGCAAAGGAGCGCGGCAGCATCTACAACAAGGTCAACGGCATTAATGAGGAGGGCTTCGAGGAGTTTCCCAGTCAGGGCGGACCCGCTGGTGGCAGCAGCATCGGCCACGGACGCGGCGCCGGTGCCGAGACGCCAGACTTCTCCAATCTCTCGCATGGCATCGAGGCGACCACGACCGGCGAAAGGCCTACCAACGGGCCTCGATTCCCCGGCGACCCAGACTACCTTGCACAGCAGACGCGCGCCGAGCGCAAGCACATGCTGGCTAAGCGCGCCAGCGTCGCCCCCACCGTCATCTCGCGCTCGACGGCCATCACGCGGATCGACTTGGTGGCCAGCGCCGAGCGAATCTACGCGCGATACCTGCTGCCGGGCAGCGAAAAGGAAATCTACCTCCCCGGGCCGCTGCGCATCACGAGCTTCCCCATCAGCTCCGGCTCGCTGCCGCATCCGCAGGACGAGGAGCAGCAGCGCGCGCTCGCCCGCGTGCCGGACATGTTCCACGCCCAGAAGGAGTACGTCTTCCGCACCATGGAGGCCGACGTCTTCCCGCGCTTCCTGCGCTCCAAGGCGTTTGGCAACCTCACGCCCATCTCTGCGCTGGTCCGCCTGAGCCTCGGCCTGCTGGCGCTGTGGGCCGCGCTCGCCACGGGCTTTAGCTTCATCTTCCTCGACGTCGAGAGGACCAAGCGGCTCTGGGTCATCCTGCCGTTCTCGATCGCGGTGCTGCTCATCATCTCGCATCAGTACGAGCTGGACCCGATCCTCGTCTTCCTCTCGCAGTCGGAGACGACGCCGTTCCACCTGATTCGCATCCGCGAGCCGTACGTCAAGAAGCTGCTGTTGCAGCGGAGCCTCGGCGTGCTGCTGCTCATTGCCCTGATCACGGCCGCCTTGACGGTGCTGTTCGTCTTCGTGCCGGGTCATCGCCTCTGATACGCACGGCGGCGCCTCGTTTCGGGACGCCCACGTCGCCCTTCTGGACACTCCTTTCCTTTGTTGAATGGCCAGGGAGCGCGACGATCGCCCCAGGTCGCAGTGTTAGAGGGAGAGCCGGACTCTTCCTCGTCGCACGCGGCACCCAAGTCTCACGACCTGGCTCCCGCAAGCTTTTCGATTCCTACATCGCCTTGTACTCTTCCCTCGCTGTTCCTCTCCGCACCCCTCGCCGCTTCGGCCCTCGATTGGCCTTTTGGCCATCTACGATACCCAGCATCCCTTCTTAGCCAATGCTTTTCTCCGCCATTGGGCCGAGCACGTCGGCAATCTCACTCTCGTTTAGCTGTTCATCGCTGGCTGGAGCCACGTTTGGCCATGGCTGGAGCCACGTTTGGCCATGGCTGTTCGTGCTTGGGTTGTTTGCTTATGTTGCCTTCGATGCATGTCGCAGCAGCACCGAGCTACGAACGGAAGTGCGATGGCCGACGAGATGCGATGATGGCCTGTCCACGAGGGCCTCCGGTTGATGGCCGGCATCGCGGATAAGGCCATCAGGGGTCGACCCTGTTCGTGATGGCCGGCCTGGCCGCGGCAAGCGAGCGGCACGTTCCTCTTGTGCTTGTTTGGCCCGCTTCCATCAGACCCACCAACCGACGACAGAAATCCACCAGATCGACGGCGCCAGCATACTACTGTAGGCACATCATGGATGCCGGCATCCGGCCGAAGCCTTCTTGAACTTGCTTGCTCCCGAGACCGAGGAACGTGGGCTTCTTTTCCCCCACTCGCAGCCTTCCAGGTCGTCGACGGAGAGGCATCCGGCAAGCGCGACCGCTGCCCGCCGCTCGACATGCCCAGAGCCTGATCCTGAGACTCCTCCTCTCCCCTTCCGGCCCTCCTAGCTTGTCGTGCCGCTTGTTCGCTCCCTCGCAGCTCGCGAGGCTCACGTCGACGATGTCGTCCGACCTAGAAAAGCAGGTTTGCGGCGACAAGCTCGTAGCCCTCGACGCCCGCACCTCGCTCCTGGACCGTCCTCCTTCACCCGCTCGGCCGCCTCCCCTATCCCTGTCGTCCCCGACTCCGGATCTCGACCGGATATCCGTCAAGATGAAGGTCTGCCTCCTCGCCGTCGTGCTCGCCTGCACTGCTGGCTTCGCCTACGCCTTCCCTGCCCGCGACCAGCGCCTCTTTGAGGCAAGGGCGCCCGGTCCCGCCTCCCCGTCCACCGACCACGGTGCCTCTGCTCCAAAGGCAGCGTACAACACCGCCGCCTACACTGCTCCCAGCGCCTTCCCCACGTCGGCCTTCAAAGACTACTACTTCCTCGCCGCCGACCACACCGCCGAACCGCGCCCCGTGGTCACCGACGTCGCCCGCCACGCAAACTTCCCGGATAGCCTGCTCAACCCCACGCTCGTACCTCCCGCGCCCGCCGCTACCGATGCCGTCTACCCTGTCCCCGTCGGCCGGCCCCAGGGCAAGAAGGGCGATGCGACCGACTACGCCGCCGCCATCGAGCGCAACATCTCGGCCATCCTCGACGGAACCCAGCCGTCGTGCGACAAGTGCCTCGCCTCACTCAAGGTCGCACAGCAGCTCGCCCGCACCTATCCCAAGGCGGCGCCCGCGGTCATGATCGACCTGTGCAAGCGATACAAGTACGCCTCCAACGCCAGCTGCGAGGCGCAGTACACCGGGCCCGTCCTCGGCGCCGTCTACACCCAGGTCCTCAGCTATGCCGATTTCGACTCGCCCTCGAGCACCGACGCCCAGTACATCTGCGCCAACCTGCTCGGCGCCAAGTCCAGCTGCCCGCTGCCGGCGCCCCGAGTGCTCGACGACGAGTTCCTCGACGCCTGGTACGGCGGCAAGGACCGACGCGCGCCGCCGCCGCCTCCGCCCAAAAAGGTCCGCGCCGGCAAGCCGCTCAAGGATGGCGGCAACCTCAAGGTGCTGCACATGAGCGACATCCACGTCGACCCGCGCTTCTTCGTCGGGGGCGAGGCGGCATGCACCAACGGCCGGTGCTGCCGCGCCGACGCCTACAACAGCACGCTCGTCCCTTCCGCCGGGTTCGCGCCAGGCACGCTGCCCCGCGCCAACATTTCCGAGGTGGCCGACTACTGGGGCAACTACCGGTGCGACACGCCGTGGTCGCTCGTCGTGGCGGCCCTCGAGAGCGTCACCCACCTCAACGGCGGCGACGAGGTCGACATGACGATCCACACCGGCGACATGGTCGTCCACGACGTGGCCCAGTACATTTCCAAGGACCTGGTGCGCTACACGCAGCAGAGCGTCTTTGACCTGATGAAGATGTTCCTCGGTCACGGCCCCGTCTTTAACGCCATCGGCAACCACGACACGGCTCCGTCCGACGCCGCCTCGCAGCACGCGCTGCCCAACGCGAGGGGCGAGCAGTTCTCGTGGGACTGGGACAATGTCGCCCGGCTGTGGGAGGTGAGTCTGCCAATATGTCGCATCGCATCGCCAGAGGATCTCGCTTGCTGACGTATCCAACCCCATCGTCCACCCGCGCAGGCCGAAGGCTGGTTCAATCACAGGGAGGCCGAGCAGGTGCGCACCCACTACGCCGGTTACTCGGTCATGCCGCGCAAGGGGCTGCGCATCATCACGATCAACACCGATTTCTGGTACAAGGGCAACGTCTTCAACAACATCCACACGCGGGACCCCGACTACAGCGGCACGCTGCGCTTCCTTACCGACGAGCTCTTCCACGCCGAGGAGCGGGGCGAGCGCGTGTGGATCGTGGGCCACGTCCTGACGGGCTGGGACGGCAGCAACCCGCTCGACAACCCGACCAACCTGTTCTACAACATCGTCGAGCGCTTCGCGTCGACCGTCGTCCACATCTTTTTCGGACACACGCACGAGGACCAGTTCAACCTCTTCTACGCCGGCGACGGCGCGGCCCAGACGCTCGATGCGGTGCGCGCCGTCAGCTTCATGGCGCCCTCGGTGACGCCGGGCAACAATGTCAATCCGGCGCTGCGCATCATGGAGGTGGACCCGGAGACGTACGAGGTCATGGACTGGCACCAGTTCTATACCGAGGTGCCCACGTTCCCCAGCCTCGAGACTGAGCAGCACGGCCCCGTGTTCCAGCACCTCTACTCGGCCCGCGAGGCCTACGGCGACTTTACCGCGCAGCCCGACGGTCTCGTGTGGCCGGAGAACGCGCCGCTCAATGCCACATTCTGGCACAGGCTCACGGTCGAGATGGAGCACCGGCCCGAGCTCGTGCAGCGCTTCACAGTCAACCAGGGCCGCAACAGCCCCAAGAGCCCAAAGTGCGAGGACGAGGCGTGCATCAGCGCAAAGATCTGCTACATGCGCAGCGGCTCCGCGGCCATTGGCAAGAAGTGCCCGCGCGGCTTTGGCAGCGTGCAGTCGTAGATGGCCGCCGGGCTGCAGCAGAAGCAATCAGGAATGATAGAAGAACAGACGCTCCAAGTGGCAGTGAGGCCCTGCATCTGTGTCGTTTTGCTGTGTCTGTGTCGAGCCTGATCGCCCTTGTTCGTCTGCACCCGAGGGTCGGTGGCTAGGTCGATGTCGACAGAACAGCAGCAGCAGCGAAGAGGACCGGGCTGGTCAAGCCTTGCTTGCACAATTCCTCGGCATTTTCTCAGCCTTTTCTGGTGCCGAAACAAGGCCGTCGGCGGATTGAGCGAGGGAGCGCACCGTGCGAACCTGCCTATCCTTGGCGGGACCGCCGCTGCAACGAGGCCAAAGCTCGAGCAGGCCCTGCAACAGCAACAAGGGGCGGGACTCGACCATGCCGCTTGCCGCGATCACGGACAATCTAACGAAGCGGACCCAGCCACGGACGATCAAGCGGGGGGCGAGGGAGTGACTTGTGGGGGTGGATTAGTGTCCATGGTGAAAGCGGGAAGCGAACGAATAGGGGGATGAATGAACAGGCGGCCCGGAAACAGGAGTTCTGCACAGGGGGGCGGATAAAAAGTATCGACGCGACGCGCGACATAAAAAAAACACGAGGCGGCGGAGGGGCGGCATAGGACTACGACGACGACGACGACGACATCGACGCCTGCAACGCTGCTGGCTGCAGACGACGGCGAGCTGCGCCGACATGGGGCGCGCTCAGCAGCGACGAACGACGAACGACGGCAAGGGGGGCGGCGAAAGCGACGGGAACGCCGCCTTACATGTCGGCCTCCCACTCGGGGGCGCGCTTGACCTGGGTCTCGATCGACCTCTTGCTGGGCGTCTTGACGGCCTTGCCCGTCGAGATGGACGGGTAGTAGCGGCAGTTGGAGCTCTGGCCTGCGGGCTGGGCGGCCGGGGTGGGGTTCTGGCCCTGGTACCAGGTGGAGCCGCCGTAGACGCCGGGCCACTGGCCCTGGGTGCCGTCGCACTGCTCAAAGACGCCCGGCTCGTAGTTGGCCGGCTCGTTCCACTGGCATCCCATGACGTCGTAAATGTGCGGGCACCACTGCTTGGCGTACGGGTCCGTGGCGCGGCACGCCCGGAAGCAGAACTCAGTGGCCGACATAAAGTTCTGCCACTCGGGCAGCTGCTCCCAGTTGCCCGTGTAGGCGCGGGTGAAGACGAGGCCGCCGATGGGGTTGCCGAAGCCGGTGGCGCCGTGCGGGTCGAGCTCGCCGCCCTCGTCGCCGGCCTGGACGTGGATCTTGGTAAAGTCGCCGGTGCCCGTGACCTGGACGAACGAGGGCGTCTTGAGGAAGTGGGCGCCCTTGATGGTGCCGTCGGGGATGAGGCGGGTGCCGTAGCCGCTCTTCATGCAGTACGACACGAGCACCTCTTCCGAGTCGCCGATGGTGACGTACTTCTTGGTGTTGGGCGGGCCGTAGACGCAGAAGTCCTTGATGCTGTTGATGAAGGCGTTGGCGCACTTGGCCGTGGGGCTCGAGGCGCCGTAGCGCGTCTGGCAGTCGTTGTACGACGTCTGGCCGCCCTCGGCCTGGGTCTTGGCGGGCAGGTGGGCGGGGTCGTAGAGCGCAGAGACGCTCAGGACGCCGGCGACAAAGGCGAGGAAGGCGGAGCGCTGGAACATGTTGGCAGGTGGTGGTTGGGCTGGGCGGGGGAAAGGGATGGGAGTTCCGGGGAGGGTGGCAAAGAGAGAGAGAGGGATGGATAGAGAGGAGGGGTAGGCCGGTAAAGACTGAATGTAGTTAAAGAGGTCGGTCGCTGGGCGGGGCCAAGAGGATGACGTTTGGGTCTTGACAGAGGGGGAGAACGGGAACAGGGACTGGAGAGAGAGGGGGCAAAGGGATGGGAGAGAGGTGGATGGAAGGAAGAGAGAGAGGGAAACGAGGGCAAAGAGGATGAGGCCTTTTGGACGTCGATGGGTGGGTGGGTGGGTCAGTCGGACCGAAGGGCGGACGGGACGGCTGACCCGTCGACGGAAACCAGACGACGGCGACGACAACCCAACCCAACCCAGCGCAACCCACTCACCCACCCGTCGGCCGTCGGCCAACCGTCACGGCGGCACCGGCGGGCAGCCAAAATGGACACAGCCCCTCTGCCCACTGCGCCTCCTCTGTCAGTCCACAATCAGGATTTCGGCGGCCGGCCGACGGTCTCCGTCGTTGTGTGTGCCCTGACCCTACCTGCTGTGCGAGCAAGGAGGCCAGGGCGAGGGACGTGTTGTTCTCCTGCGAGTGAGCGAGCGGCGCGGCGAAGCAGAGCGGCGGGTGATGCGGGAAACCCCCGTCTTTCGACGTCCCCCGGTCTGGAGCGCGCGCATCTCGTCTGGCCTGCCCGCTCGCTGCCTGCCGTAAGTTACCTCGGCCCTCGACCCCGTTCTCCGCTCATCATGTATGTCGACCCGCAGGCCGCAGGCCGCAGGCAAGCCTCGTCCCGCGCCTTGCCTTGCCCTGCCCTGCCCCCGCCGTGCCATGCCTTGCGCTGCGCTGCCCTGGCTCTCCCTGCCCACCCTGGAAATGCCGAGCGGAAAGGGGGAGCCGGGGTTCCTCGTCCTCTCTCGCTTAGCCTCGACCTCGAGAGCTCGTCTCCGGCGGGTTGGATCTTTCATTTTCCTACGGTATTCGAGCAGACGTACGTCCCTTCGGCCCTCGACTGTCCTCGCCCCGAGAGAAGGAAAAACCCTCCCATCGGCTGTGTTCCTACCGTGCGCTGACGGTGACGGCGTCGACGGTGGCGCGGTCATCGCTCGTCGGTTGTCGACAGGGAAGCCTGGCATCCTCTCGCTGCGCCGCGCAATGCGCCCGAAGCAGACCGGATTGTTTGCGGCGTGCTCTGTATTCTCCTGTGGACGTCGAACTGTGACACTGCGGAGGCTGACCGTCGATTCGCAGCAACAAAAGGCAAAGCAAGCAAGGCATTTGGGAATCGTAGCTCCTCCTAATAGCACGGTACATAGGGGCCAGGCGGGTTGGACCCTCGTTCTGCAGCACATCGGAGGCGGCGGGAACGCCACCACCGGCCGGCTACCTACCTACCTCTGTACGAACTGACGGGCACTCGGGGCCGTTGCCGGCTCAGGAGTTTTCGGTCGTCGTGCGTTGACCTGCCTCTGCGGTCGTCGTCGTCCGCTGCGCTTTCTTTGCTTCTCCTCATCTCTTTGTTGATGGATTGATGATCGCCGACACGCAGGGATCGCCCCACTGCGCGGGCGGCCCCTCTTCATAGCATATCATGATATGCTCACAGCTACAGGTGACGTCCAGGAGGAACGGGGCCATGCGCTGTTACGGCACGCGGCGAGCATGACCTTCGAAGTGAGGTGGGTTGGGTCGGATCCCTCTTGTCTCCCATCTTGGCACGGCCCGCTTTCTGTCAGCCAGCAAGGGCAATCCGAGTGCGGTCCGCTGACCCGACATGGAAAGCCTCGCATCAAGCGCCAACGTCCACGCCATCACACTACACGCCTTCCTGGCCGCTCGCTCTGAAAGGATGTCCAAAGTCTTGGCATCTCGAGGCGTGTGCAGTGAAGGGGTTGAGTAGTGCACGTACGTACTTGCCATTCCGAAATGCGTTTCCCCCTTCGACGCTTCCAAGCGGATGTGGCGACAAGACCGAGACACCGAGCCAGGGGGGCCGACCGGCCGGCCGGGCGGCGGTGTTGTTGTTCGCTGATCCCAAAAGAGGGCTCGGGGGTCGGCACGCGGCAGCGAGCGAGGAAGTGGATCGGCAGGCTAGGCTTGCTTGGAGCGAAGGGGAGCGGGCGAAAAATGCATGCACGCGCACGTCTAGATGCCCGGTTCGCAGCGCATGCCCGTCGTCGAAGCCGAGCTCCGTCGTCGCTTCGCTTCGCCCCTGCCCTGCCCTGCCCGGGCCCCTCTCTCTTTCGACTTCGCACACGAGGCTACCGTAGCGGCTCAGCTAGAGAGGCTAAGCTTTGAAGTGCTGTGATGCCCTCGAAGATGGCCTGCAGAGCGAGGTGGCACAGGTACAGTACCGCGGGTAGGCTAGGACAGGTGGGCTAGGCCACGTACGGTGGCTAGGCGGGCACAGATCGACCGACGATCTTTGCTTTGCCGAGGTGGCCGCCACCTCGTCGCTCGCCCGCCCGACGTCTAGCCTGAGGTACTCTGTATGATCTGCCTAGCTTCGTTTCTCGCTCTCCTCCGGCCGACGCGATGTACGCTAAATTTAGGTTCGGTCCTCGTTCTTTCTCTGATCGGATGGGTCCGCCACAGCCATGCCGTGCCATGATCTCGCTCGTTGGTGATCCGAGCGTAGTTACGTGCAAACAGACAGCTAGAGCGAGACAACACGCCCGTCTGTCCCCACCGCACCGTACCGTACAGTACCGCAGGCGCTGCGTGGCCTGGCCCCACCGCCGACACAGAGGCTCGTGCAAGATGCAGCATTGTGGATGAACATGTGAGGCGGTGGGCCTTGGTCTGAGGGGCCTTGCTCTGGCCTGCACAACCTCGTGCGACCCACCGGCGTTGGCACAAGGGGGGTTGGGCCTGGATACCACAAAATCGGGCAGAATGGCAATACACGATAAAGATACAACAACAAACGGCATCCACGGCGACAACGAAGACATCGGACCACGACCAATCTGGCTCCCCTATCTGGGATACCAAAAGGCGCGAGGGCGAGGGCGAGGGCGAGGGCGAGGGCGAGGGCGAGGGCGAGGGCGACAAGATTCAGTCCGAGCGCGACGGTCCAAGGCGGAGAGCGCCCTTGAGCTTGTTGAAAAAGGGAAAGGCCATGTCGCGGTGGAAGCGGATCGTCTCGTGCCACATCTCGGGCACGTCGGCCTCGAGGAAGGCGCGATCCCGGTCCTCGTCGAGCTGCGGCTCGTAGCAGAACTGCTCCCGCTTGACCTTTTGCGTCGACCGCGAGCCCGCCGGCGGGTCAAAGAGCGCCTCAAACTCCTCCAGCGTAAACACCAGAGCTGCGCAGAGAGACGACCCGGGAGGCGAGAGGATTCGAGGTATGATCGCAGTCAGCTTGACAGTTCGAGCTCGAGCATTCGCCCCTCGCTTTGCACAGCACGCTCGGCACACTCACAGTGGTACGCGTCGTTGGCAAACAGCATCTTGAAGCGCTTGTACTTTTCCTTTGCGTCGTACGTCTCGACACCCGTGACGACGAGCCCTGTGAGGTCCTCGTACAGCCGCCGGATGGCCTTTTCGTCCTCGTGCTGCTGCGCAGTCAGCGCCAGCTCCGTCGCCGCCCTGCCTTTGCCCGCCGCCTGCGACGACGACGTAGAGGCCGACGAGCCCAGGTGCGCCTTTTCCAGCAGCGCCTTGGACGTCGCGATCTCCTCCTCCAGCTTGGCCTTGTACTTGTTGACTGCAGCGGCGAAGCGGTGGAAAGGTCAGCCCCGTACCGCGCGAAAGACGAGGGAGGAAGGTTGCCCACGCGGCGGACGGCCACTCACCGTCGTCCTCGAGCTTCCTCTGCACCTTGGCCGCCTCGGCCATTTCCTTGCGGTGCCGCTTCTCGAGCTCCTCGACCTGCGGAGCGTTCGACGTCGATGCCACGCTCGGCGTTCGCATGCCTACGATGCTCATGCTGCGGTCCGCAGCACCTCCTCCGTTGGCCTCGGCCTCTCTGGCCCTCCGCTCGGCCGCCTCGGCGCGAGCCTTGAGCGAGTTGATGAGGTCCTTGTCATCTGGAGGGTCGTGCATACATAGAAAAGGTCAACGACGAGCGCGGATGTTGAGCGTCGCATCGGACGGGCCGCCAGGCGCACTCACGCTTGTGCCTGGTCTCGGCCGCCTTCCTCAGCGCCTCGAGCGTCTCTTCGGCCTTGGTGTTCCGGAGCTGCCGCAGCTCGTCGAGCTGGTTCTGGATCTCGTCGCGCTCCTCGGTCATCCTCTGCAGCTTGTCCTCGAGCGCCCGCTCCCTCTTTGACGCCATCTTGGCCAGCTTCTTTTCCATCCAGCTGTCAAACTCCTTGCGCTCCAGCAGCATGGCGTCTGTGCCCGCTGCCGCATCGTCCTCGTCGCCGTATCCGTCCTCGGTAGTCTCCGCGGCGGCGGCACGGCTGCGCGATTTGGTAGACGGTGCCGCCGTCGCTGCCTTGCCGTTGCTCGACGCGGTGCGGCCTCGTCCGCTCGACTTTGCACCCGTCCTGACCGCTCGGAGAGTGTCGTCTTGGTCGTCTGCCACACTCTCATCTTCGCCGTTGGCCGTGTCGGCGATGGATGCATTGTCCTCCATTTCCTCGTCGTCGCCCTGCTCGTCATCGTCGTCCTCGAGCTGTTCGACCCGTCTGGATTTCGAGGCCGTCTTCCGTGCGCCCACCGCGGAGCCCTTGGAATTGCTCTGGGCCTTCTTGGTCGTCTTTGCCGGCTTGGCAGTCGTGGCGGCGCCCCTTCGAGACTTGGAGGCGCGGAAGCTGTCCTCGTCTCCCCGGTCCGACGCCGATGCTGCATCTTGGTCGTCGTCTTGGTCGTCTTGGTCGTAGCGGCTAAGTGCGCTGAAGGAGCGCGGCGCGACGTTTTCCTTGTCGCGCGCCCGTTTGCGCGAGGTCGTCATCGAGGCCGACACGTCGTGGCTCGTCGAAGCGCGTGTGGATCGAGAGGCTGGCATGCTGCTGAGGTATGCGACAGAGTGGGCCGGATCAGGCCAAGTCGCGGATGGCTAGAGTCGTCGAGGTTGAGAAGGAAGGCGAAGCCGGTTGGGCACGGTCTGAAGCTGAGGAGTGCGGCGTCGTTCGAGAGGGTGCGTGGAAGTGATGGTGCGGCGTGGATGCAGCTCGATGCAGAAGTCAGGATCAGGATACAGCGGTGGTAGGGCAGGGTTACGATGGTGTTGCTTGGTCGTCGGGTCGGATCGGTGCGGTGCGGTGCGGTGCGGTGCGGTGCAGCCTGGCCTGGCCCCGGCTGTTGTGCGAGTCAAACACCAAGCCCAGAGGGCCTAGCCTGCCAAGGCCGCGGCGCGCCCCATGTTGGCACCCAAAAAGTCGCGCGCGCAGAGACCAACACGCCTCGGCTCACCCGTCTGCCCAGCTGGTCTGTCTGGCCTGGCCTGGCCTCGCCGCGCCCGAGCCTCGAGTCTCGAGCCTCGAGCGAGAAGCTGTCGCGTCTCCCTGCCCCCCTCGCTCTCTATCTCTCTCTCTCCATCCCTAGATGTCGCACCGCACGTCTTCAGCTGCTCCGTCTCCTCTTCCGCCCTTGCTCTTGCTCCTGCCCTGACCCTTGCCCCCCTCCCTGCCCAGGCTCATCTGCTCTGCATTCCGGGGAAGCGGGCCTTGAGCACGTGACGCAAACACCATCCCATCCTCGAACTCCTCTTCAGGTGGTAGTTAGCATCAGGTGTGTTGTCGACGAGCCATCGACCATCTCGGCGGTCCGGGACCGCAGGCTCGCTGTCCCCGGATCAGGCAGCACACGTAGTTCGCAATGCCGATACCAAGACTTGGCTGGCGCGGATCGAACAGGTAGGCGTATGCCACGAGCACCGGAGGGTCGCCGTCTAGCCCCGCACCATGGCAATACGCTGAGGAACGCTGCGGCGCCGTGATGGGCGGCGCAGGCATGGCCGCCCGACACTTGTCGCCCCTTGCCGCACCTGCTCATCCTGCGCCCCAATTCGCCACGACCCGGACAGAACCAACCACGATATGGAGTTACGGATACGTTCGAGAGAACCGTCGGGTGGGATATCAAGGCCGAGACGTGCATGCAATGCTGAGTACGGAAACATGGGGGGCGAAAGAGAGGTGAGGAGGCGAGGGGCAAGACCAGGGGGGGATGACGGAAAGGCTCGCCGATGCCGTGTGGCCACGCGCGCAGGCCTACGACCAGCGACCTTTTCTTCCCCTCGTCGAAGCTCAGAGGACGACGCAGCCCTTGCAGCAGCCGCCTTCGTGCTTGCCCTCCTCGGTCTGGAAGCGCTCCATGCCGTTGGCGCCGCCCGCCGCTCCCGTCGCGCCCGGTCGGCCGATGGTCTGCTCCTTGTTGTACCGGCGGATCTCGCGCACCAGGTTGCTGAACGCCTCGTCGACATTGATCCGCTGCTTGGCCGACGTCTCGATAAAGCGGCAGCCAAAGTGCTTGGCCAGCTCCCGGCCCTCGTGGCTGCCGACTTGCCTCTCGTACTCGAGGTCGCACTTGTTGGCCACAACGATCACCGGGAAGTAGTCCTTGTCCTTGACGCGCAGAATCTGCTGGTGGAACGTCGAGATCTCGTCAAACGAGTTGCGGCTCGTTATGCTGTAGACGAGCAGGAAACCCTCGCCCGTCCGCATGTACTGCTCTCGCATCGCGCTGGCGTGGCAAGGGCAGGGTCGAGGCAGAGGAGGGGTCGAGGCGGAGGGAGGCAACAAGGGGCGTGAGTCGGAAGGGCAGACGATGGAGCGGTCGCCCGGCCGAGCATCGAGGGCGCCGCCGCCGCGACTCACCTGTACTCCTCCTGGCCTGCCGTATCGAGCACATCGAGCAACGCGACCTCCTCGTCAATCACGCACTGCTTGCGGTACGAGTCTGTGGCGAGTTGAAGCGAGATTGGACGACGACGTCAGCAGGAGTCGCCGGAATGCAAAGGATCGTAGACGTTGCGGCCCGCCCACGCACCTTCGATTGTCGGGTCGTACTCGTCAACAAAGTGGCTTTGGATGAACTGGATCGTCAGGGCAGACTTTCCGACTCCTCCTCCACCGACGACGACCAGCTTGTACTCTCTCAGGAATTGGGCCTGCTCGGATCGGGGGTGTCGGCATGGGACGGCAGAGCACGATGGCAGTGGCGAGGTCAGCAAGAGGTGGTTGTCCAGGAGGCCGCAGCCAGCTCGCGTACTGGTCGAGCAGGAGGTGGCATTGACGAAGGCGGTGGCTCCCTGCAACGCACCTTGGACATCTTGGTATCTCTAGGGACGGTGTGCAAAGGTTGGATGCTCGAGTGCCGCTATGATGTGGGTCGCGAGGTCGATTGGAGATGGGCAAGCGCGTGATTGTCGGATCGATTCGAGATCCTTTTTTAGTGGTGCAGCGCGACTAGAGGCAGCACCGAGACGGGTCGTGGAATGTCGAGCGGAAAGCAGGGGATGCCGTGATGGCAAAGGGTCGGACACGAATTGGAGGCGAGGCCGGTGTTCGGATGTTGCGCGCCGCTACGTGGCAGAGAGCGGGAAGGGGGTATCGGAAGGAGTGCGCAGTTCTCCGGATCGGACCGGAGCTCGACGAGGACGAAGTCGAAGGAAGAACAAGGTGGGGGGGTGGGGTCGGCCAGATTACGGTGTGAGAGAGCCCGATGTTTCCGAATCTACAGCGTCTGACGGTGGGCGGGGGCAGCGAGCGGTGGCAGGGGCCAAGGGCGAGGTGAAGGGCGAAGCGAGGAGCGAGGCGGAAGTGGCGGATGACGGAGGAAGCGATGGTGGTGGTGGTGGTGGTGGGCGGTGATGGCGAGGAGAGGACCAACACTTGCAGCGCCAGAGGGGGCAGCGAGGGGAGGCGAGGCCAGGCGAGGCGAGGCCAACCTCAGGCCAGGCCAACTGCTGGCTGGCTGCGTGTGCGGGTGTGTGAGCGTGCGTGCGTGTGGCTGGCTGGCTGGCTGGCTGGCTGGCTGGCAACTGGCCAGGCCGAAAGCAGCCGGGGCGAACAGCCAGGCAGGCCAGGAGGCAGCAGGGCAGGGCAGGGCAGGACGGGGCAGGGCAGGCAAAGGGCGCTCGTTGCCCCTGCCCCTACCTGCCTCTTTGCCTGCCGTCGAGCATACGCACGCACGCTCGCACCAACGCATCCAACCTCAGGAAGCTAAGGCAGGCGGGCAAGCAGAGAGAAGCAGGCGCAGAAGCAAGCCCCTTTCCCATGGCCTGCCTGCCTGCCTGCTTGCTGCTGGCTCCCCTGCAGGCGCCCGCTCAACCGCCTGCCTGCACATACATACAACAGGCTAGGCCAGGCTATTTAGCTAGGCTCTCTTGTCTTCTCTTTCTATTCGCCTCGACCTCGGCCCAAGAAAACAGCCACCCCCACCCCGAATCGGTGAAAATCATTTAGGCGCACCCTCGTAGGTCCATCCAGGGCAGCGTTTGTATTCCCCGCCGCTCGCCCTGGCTGGTTTCGTCGTGGCCAGCTCCTCGAGGCCATTGCGAGGGCGGGCCATACACCTCGAGCCGTCCAGGTACGGGTCGAGGCTGCCACCATGTCGATCGCGATGTGGCCTCGCGTCGAGGTGTTTCCGTGCCACGGCGCTGGGACCTGGCCTGGCCGAGGCAGGCAGGGGCCGGGGCTAGCCTGCAGCCGCTGTACGCCCGTTGGGCTGCATCGAGACGACGGGCAGGCCACGCTCGAAAACCTCGCCGCACGCACGTATGCTCCAGCATCTCGTTGCGATGGACCGCCACCCGTTGCCCTCCTCGCTCAGCCAATACGAGGTCAGCGCTGTCTCGCAAAGTGCCCAGGGGAGCGGCCAGGCCAGGACCGGCCAGGCAGATTCACCCCTTCTCAGCTTGCGTGCAGATGTCGCGCTCCTGCGCACCACCTCCGCTTTCTTCTGAGCTCAGCCGTGACGATGTCGACTGGTTATGGTGCCGCCTATCTTTGCTGCCGCTGCTGCCGCTGCTGCCGCTGCTGCGGCGGCGACGGCGCTTCCAGCTTGGCATTGATGCCCCCCCCTCGATACCGGCCACCATCGTTGCGGTCTCCCTGAGATGTTCGCCTGGCCTGCCGTACGTGCCGCTGCCAGGACCGTAGATCAGCGTGCTTGCTTGCTTTTCTTGCCACGCTCGGTGCACAAACCTCGTCCCAGTCCTGCCAGCACGCCAGCATAGCGCCCGCCTTGACCGTGTACCTGCTTCCGGGCCTGCCCACGATATACAACAGATGGACGTGACTCTGCCATCTGGCGCAGGCATGAACGGCAGCCGGAGGTTGAAGCGGCTGCAGCAGAATCTCTGAAAGAAGCAGATGCCGCTTTGGCCGACCGCAAGTGCCGTCCTTGCTGCATCTCCTGGCTCAAGCCACCTCTTCTGGCTCAGCTCGGACGCAGGGGTTATGTAGCGATTCGCTCGTCGCTGCGCCAGGCGTCGTCTCTCCGGTTCCGAGCGGCAAGCTGTGGCCACCTACCTACTACCCCACGACAGGCGAGCAATTGCGACCTCCTTCCGGTCCGGGATGTCGACAAGCCCTCTTCGACGGCAGCACATGATGGCGACCGTACAGCCCACTCTTATGAGCAGGGTCACCGTGCGCTTTGCAGGTCGGCACCACGAGCGGCGATCTCTCGACAATGGGCGAGGAACCAGCGCTCGATCCAGTGCTGTTCGAGAGCTGCTGCGCCATTGTTGATCGCGGAGGTTGGCCTGGCTGTGCGGCGTGAGACGCTCCGTCGTCAGGTCAAGTCCGTCGCAGATATCCCGCAGCGAACGAGCGGCTAACGTTTCCGTTTGATCGGTCTTCTAGCGTCTCTACGCCGTCCGATGATGCCGAGGCGTCCGTTGAGGTTACGCATGTGTTGACGTCGACTTTGTTCTCTCTGCCTATCCTACAGACCACGTACAAGTGCCACGTCCTGGCTTGAGTCTGAACGGCGCGAATGACTACGGGCAAAGGGGTGCACCATAGACGATGGCGCTCGGCGTCTTGGTCGAAGTGCGGGCGCCCCGCATTGTCGGATCAGCCTGGCGAGGGGCGAAGCTAGGTCGATGGCGAACGATGATCGGCCTTGCGTCTGTGAGACCACTTTCCGTACGTGCGCAACTCACTCTCTGGCCACCACGTTGGCCCAGCTGATGTCGCCGATCGCAGGGGTCGACCGAGTATGTAACCTCTACGCTCGCTCGTGGGGCAAGACGTACTTCGGGCATCATTTCTTCGACAAGCGAGATCTGGATGGGGTGAGAGCTCTGAATGAACGCCGAGGCTAAGGGGCTGCCTTCACCGTACCACACCATCATCATCTTGGGATCGCTTCGCGATTCGATGACGACGCTCGAGGGGCTCGGTTGCATCGCACGAGAAGCTGCTGCTGCTGCTGCAGCACCCGACTAGCGACGAAGCGGGGCGATCCTGACAAAAAACGAATCGTCCTCCCATCGCTCGTCGGAGGGGCCCCAGCCGGTCCCCATCTGTGTGCCTGATTCTCGTCCTGGCCGCCAGCCCGGGGGAAGAGAGGCCTGGCAGGGCAGGGCAGGCTGGTGCGGCGGACAAAACGTGGGAACGTGGGTTCCGGACGTCGATGTCTCCCCTTGAACTCCGCCCGGCAGCTGGACCGATTTAGGCTGTCTAGACGCCACGTCGTCGTGCCGACCAAGCGTTAGACCTGTTGATAGGAGGAGGCCGGAGCGAGCGAGCAAAGCAGAGATGCCTCCATCCCCTCGCCACGGTCTTGCGACGTCACTACTACTAGTCGTGATCAAACAAGGCAGGGCGAGTACGGGCACTGTGACGGGTCTTGCTGGTACTGCAGCCGCTGTGGGGACCATTCGGTCCGTAGAAAATCGATGGCTCGAAGTCACTTTTGACCAGGCGACACCCTCGTCGCAGAGGACCAAAGGGTTAGCCAAGTACGTACGCCACGGCTAGAAGTGGTAGGGGACGCCACCTGATGTCGACGTGCTGCGCCGCGACGCCGATCTGGGGTGATGGCGCTACGTGGATGGACTGCGGCTGATGGAGGCGATGATGATGTTTGGCAGGCGTGGGGCGTGTCAACGCGCGCGCGCGCTGAATGCCGCGGGCCCACCACGTCGTGCGCTCGATTATCCGTGGACCAGGCTAGGATTGGGGGCGGGCGGAGCGGCCTGGAAGGGGCTGGATGGGATGGTGCTGGTAGCGCAGCGTGCCGTAGCCTGCCTGGGGTTGTCGCCATCGGTTGGCTCCCGGCAGGCCTGCACCTGCGACCCCCTCATCGACCCAACCTCTGGTAGCCTAGGGATCGAGATGGCGGCGGAGCGAAGATCGATGGGACGGCAGGCCTGAAAATGGCCGAGAGACCCTTCTCGCCGGCAGGGCGAGGCGAGGCGAGGCGAGGCGAGGCGGAAGGAGGCAGGCAAGCAAGCTAGGGCAGGCAAGCAGGGCCAAAGGCGGCCGGCCGGCCCAGCAGGCGGGCGTCGCACCACCACCGACCCGTACACCGCCATCTTCCTCGGTTTCAAATTCGCCCTAGCCTGCCTGCCTGCTCGCGGCCGGCGGTTTATTTTTAACCCTGACTGCCTTGGTAGGGCGGCTGATGAGGCGCAATGGGCGTCTGCGGATCACCGCCACGAGCCGTCAGGGGGGGAGGTTGGACCACGCGCTAACGATGCTTCGGCACTCGACTTGCCTCGCGCTGCTTGCGTCTGGGCTGTTGATGCCATCGCTGGGCGGGCGAGGGGCACAGGCAGGCTGTCATCGGTCATCTACGAGCAGCACCAACGATGAATGGGGAATGAGGACGGAGTAGGGGCCGGGTGCTGCTACGAAGATCGAGATGGGCTAGCGAACGAGTGGCGAGGCGAGCAGGGCCGTGGAAGAACGTGACGCGGTCGGCGGCCTTGCAGTGTTCCCCCTCGGCGGAAATCCGGGATGCGATTGTTTGAAACTTGAGCCTCCTCCTCTTCTGGTGGCAGCGACGCGGGCGGTCGGCGAGCAGGCAGGCAGGCAGGCAGGCAGGCAGGCGGTAGTTAGGAGGATGTGTCTCTGACCTGCGCTCGAGGCGTGGCAGCCTGGTTTGGCCGCCTCTCTGCTGTCCCTCTGCTGTCCCTCTGCCGCACGCACGTTGCAGGCCGCCGCCACACTCGCTCCCGCGACGGTTGCGCCCCCACACACCCTCGGCGCTCGGTCCTCTCGTGCCCCTCGACCCGGCACTACTGCAGCCTCTGACAACCCCCTGTGTACCGCCGCTACCACCACCATCATCCCCACATCCTCCAACCACCAACACCACCACCTATCATCACCACTTTCGTCTCCTCTTCTCGGTCGGCCGCCGGGCGCTATCCACCTCTCGCTCAACTGTCTATCTGTCCGTCCGTCCGTCCGTCCGTCCGTCCGTCCGTCCGCCTGCTCAAAACGCCGACTTGCCGGCCCCTGCCACTTCTCCATCGCCGTTTTCATTGCACCTAGCCTGCGTCTCAGGCCTGCGCCTCGGACGAGAGCCGCGCCCGGTAGCCCTCAGCATCCCCACCGCACAGCGCTCGAGTAGCTCGGGCTCCACGACCCAATCGCCCCCCTTGCGCGCACCCTAGAGCTCCTTTTCTGACCACGGTCAACAGCACCTGGGCCTTTCGGACGATCCTCTCCATACTCGACCTCTAGTTGCCAGTCCCATCTCCTAATCCCTGCCCAACCGCACAGTCTCATCGTCCACATGCCAGCCGATCTCGTCGAGCCCGGGCCTTCACGCCAGCCCGCCACCTCGCCCGTTGTTCGCCGGCGGCGAGCCCGGACGGCCGCGCAGAAGCTATCTTCGAGCCCCATGCGATCTCGCTCCGCCTACACCGAGCCCCGCGATTCCGGCAGCCGGACCGGCGGAGCCAAGGCCCACTATTCGCCCGATGCCGGCTCGGCGCAGCTCGATGCCCCAGCAGAGTGGCTCCAGGCGCGCAAATATGCCGTGCTCGTCGACGCAGGCTCCTCGGGGTCTAGGATGCAGGTCTACTCGTGGAAGGACCCGAAGCTTGACCGCGCGCTCAAGGAGAGCCGTGGTCAGGACATCAAGACGCTGCCCAAGGTCGAAAAGGGAACCTGGGAAGGCAGCGGCATGGACTGGACCGTCAAGGTTGAGCCGGGTGAGTGCCATCGGGACATCGTCGCACCCGGCCCTTGACTACTGCAGGACCTCTTCTCTGACCCGCTCTCGCACACCTACCTCTCCCGGATCTGCGCTGCGGTCGTCCTCTGCCAGGCATCTCGTCGTTCGGCGACCACCCCTCCGACCTGGCTGCATACCTCCGACCGCTCATGGAGCATGCGGAAAAGGTGGTGCCCCCGTCCGCCTGGTCGGACACGCCCATCTACATTATGGCCACCGCCGGGATGCGGCTGCTTCCGGACAGCCAGCGCGAGGCCGTGCTTTCCGAGACCTGCCGCTACGTCCGGGAACACACCTCGTTCCGCATCGACGGCGGCTGCAGCTCCCACGTCTCGGTCATCTCGGGCGAGGAAGAGGGCCTGCTGGGCTGGATCTCGGTCAACTACCTCATGGACGGCTTCCACATCCGGCCCAAGCAGAACCTGACTGAGGGCGAGGCCGATCTCGTGGAGGGCAAGAGCACCTTTGGCTTCCTCGACATGGGGGGCGCCAGCACCCAGATCGCCTTTGAGCCCAGCAAGGCGGCGCTGCAGGCCGAGGAGGGCCAGTCGAGCGCTCAGGAGGAGCTCACGCCCGTCAGTCTGCGCATGCTCGACGGCACCGAGGTGTCGCACCAGGTGTTCGTCACCACCTTCCTCGGCTACGGAACCAACCAGGCGCGCCAGCGCTACGTCAAGCAGCTCAGGGAGACGGGCAAGCCGCTCGCCCTCGACACTGCACCGGCGACCTCGACCTCGACCTCGACCTCGACGTCAGCCTCCTCGTCGGCCGTGGCGGCTGTTGGAGCGCCGAGGCCGTACGCGGACCCCTGCCTGCCCGAAGGCCTGCAACTGACTGCCGCGGGCCACGACCACACGGACGTCTCGCTCGTCGGCACCGGATCATTCACCGAGTGCCTCGAGGCGACGCACCCGCTGCTGGACAAGGAGGCGACGTGCACCAACCCGCCTTGCCTCTTCCACGGCGTTCACGTGCCCAAGATCGACTTCAGCGTCAACCACTTCATCGGCGTCTCCGAGTATTGGTTCAGCTCCAACGACGTCTTCAACCAGGGCGGCGTCTACGACTTTGTTTCGTTCCAAAAGGCCGCGGTCGACTTCTGCGGCAAGCCGTGGTCGGAGCTCAAGTCGCACCTCGATGCCGGCGACCTGTTTGGTCCGCAGGTCGAGCTCAACCGCCTTCAGCTGCAGTGCTTCAAGGCTGCCTGGATGGTGACGGTGCTGCACGAGGGCATCGGCCTGCCGCGGATCGTCGACAGCAAGGGTCAGGGCGATGGCAAGGATCACACCGACGAGGCGCAGGACAAGGCGGACCAGAAGAACCTCTTCCAGAGCGTCAACGACGTCGACGGCTTCTCGGTCAGCTGGACGCTGGGCAAGGCCGTCGTCGAGGCGAGCCGGGACATTCCGCCCGCTCCCAAGCTGCTCCCCTCGCCACTCGACGGCCTTCCGCTACAGAGCGGAGGCAGCGGTGGTGCCGTCGGGCTCGGGGGGTGGAAGCCGTTTGGCGCCAACTGGCCCACGACGGGAGAGGGTTCGGCGTTCCCTCCGGCGCTGCAGGCGGGCCAGCGTGCGTTTGGTCCGGCCGCGGTCCTGGTCGCGGTCGCAGCTTTCCTCGTGCTCGCCCTCACCTGCCTCTGCACGAGGGGACGCAGCCCGAGGGCGACACGTCGGCGTGCGGCCATCAAGGAGCTTCTGCCGCCGCCGCTGGGATCCCTCGGTGGCGTCTGCGCTGCCAAGCGGGGCGCGCGCGGCGACTATGCTCTGGCGAGCATGGAAGAGGCGTCGGAGGTCAAGGGGCCCGCGTTCGGATCCAAGTGGTTCTCTCGGGGCAAGCGTGGCGAGAGCCTGCTGTCGAGCCCGGAGCTCGAGTCGGAGCAGTCGTACAGCTCCGAGGGCAGCAGCGAAGAGAGCGTGGGCGGGGGCCGCTCCCGCAATCACCGGCGGCGCAAGTCCAACACGGGCTTTTTGCGCACCTTGATGCTGCCGGCGAGGCGTCTCTTCTACGGCGCCGCAGCTCTGCTTCCCGCCTCTGTGTCATCGAGGGCGATGCGGGCCTCTGGGCGCTCGAGCGACCGGCTGGCCGCCCACGCGCGGCGTGCGACGGCCTCGAGCGGGAGGATCCCCGTGCGGCGTGGGGCGACGAGCCCGACGCTGGTCAAGGTGAGCCGACCCGGCTCGCCTGGGCTGGTGGGCATCACATCTGGCAGCACGATTTCGAGGCCGGCGTCGCGCACCAGCAGCCGCGCGCCGACGCCGACCCTGGGGCTGCGGTCGGGTGCGCCGGGCGCCCACGCCCGACCAGTGGGACCATTTTCGGCGGGGGGCATGGCGGGCATGCACGGGTCATCGTCGAGGCCGGGCTACTTTACGGCAAGCCTGACTCGTGCCAACTCGCAGACGGACCTGGGACAGGCGCACGAGAACCTGCTGGCGCCCAACAGCGCGACGGCGACGACGAGCGCCATGCTGAGCCGCAGCCCGTCTCGGGTCGGGTCGCCCGCTCCGCACCTGTCGCCCATGTCCGAGGTGCGGCCGTAGCCTGCTGCGGTCCTGCCCACGCCAACCGACGCCATGGCATGTATTGACCAGGTGCCACCATCTATGGACACTTTTATACGCTCGAGCCGCGCTGGTACACTCTGGCGCTACCTTGGTTTTTTTCGCAGTCGCATGCCCGTCTTTTCGTGTGCAAACCTGTAACTTTACCGCTCTGCGTCGTGTTGGCGCCGCCGTCAACTGTGCGACTTGTTTGGTCGTGATTCTATGGGAACGCTGCCAGTGCCAGCACGCAAGCCAAGCTACGCCACCGCAGGCGCTCTCTGCAGACTGCGAGGGCGAGGGCGAGGGAGAGGGCGAGCGAGAAACGTGAGGCAACGATTTAGGGGCCGCCTGCCAAAGTGGAGGCTGCTGGGGCCAACAGCGGGCGCAGAGGGCAGAGGACAAAGGTGAGGCACCCCCACAACGGCGGGCCAAACACTCGCCAACACCCTGCCAACGACCCACCACCACCATCTTCCAGCCCTCCCCTTCTTACCCTCCCTGCCTCCAACCGTTGCAGCAGGCACGCAGCCTCGAATTCACGCCACCCCGAACCGCAACGCCCCCGGCCACACTTCACTCGAATGAGTGCTCTCGTCTTCCAAGGAGCTCCTCATCCTGCCGGCGCCCGCTAGTGCGCCTGCCCCGCCTCACCATGGCCCTCCATCCTCCCGTCCAACAGCCCCTCACAGTCGTCCGCCCCACGCCGCTCCACCCGCTCGACGAGATACCGCTCAACCTGCATCCCTCTGCCACCACCATCGGCAGCGAACCCCGCCCTCCACGCCCCAGCTCCCACTCTTCGCAGCATGTCGGTCTCCATTCCGCCTGCAACCTGCCCACAAAGGGCGACCACGCCGATGCTCAAGAGGCCCTCGCAAAGCTCGATCGCCTCACCAAGCAGCGCGAGAAACGCAACAGATGGCGCAGGCCAGCAGACCGCATCACCGGCGCACTCCATCGCACAAGCGCCCGTCACGCCTCTGGTACCGGCGCCGCAGACGACTCCGACTCCGACTCGAGCGACTCAATCGACCTCAGCAAGGCTTTTGAAGAGGTAAAGCTCAAGATCACCAGCCTACCTGGACATCCCGTCGTAGGCAAGGTGCGCAATGCCGCATCCAGAGCCAGAGATCGCATCGGCCGAGGAGACACCGACAGCCCCGGTAACTCGCCCGACTTTGAGCATGGCCAGGACGGATTGGCTTACCGCTTCCCTCTCACCCGCAGCATCGGAGCAGCGGCAAGGAGGTTCTCGCTCAACAAGACGCCTCCGCCCTTTGCAGAGCAGAGCAGCAGGGCAGGCTTGACGGCCGCTCCTGGCGCAGCCAGCCCCGTGGCCATGCACGCAACCAAGAGCCCACCGCCGATTCCAGAGAGCCCGGGCAGCGCGTCCAGCAGCACGATGCCAGACACGGGCAGGTTCAAGGCGTTGGCATCGCAGAACCCCGAGCTGCTCGTCGTCGACGAAGAGGGCCACGAGCGACAGGCAGAGGAGCAGAGTCACGGCGGCCTCCGGCGTCCCGTCACCTTCTTCCACGACCATGGCGAGCTGAGCCCAGGCAGCAGGAGCGCCGTCACGACACCAGGCAGCACCCCTTCCACCGAGCCCGCAGCCAACCCGATCGTCTTCAACCTCACACCCATCGGCTGCTCGTCGGCCTCTGTCATCCACGACGAGCCCGAGGAGCATGACCCGGGCGCACGGCTGCGCGGGGCCTGCACCCTGTCGCCATCCGTGTCTCCCTCGTCAGCCTCGGGCTTGACCGAGTCCGACGAGGCCGAAGACGACGGCAGTGCATTGCAGACTGACTCGAGCGATGAAGAGGACGAGGACGACGACGGCGGGCGTGGTCCCAACGATGAGCTGCTGACGCACGGATCCGTCAGCCTAAAGCACAACGAGGCGCTGTCCAAGGAAGAGCTCAAGAAGCACCGGAAGCTGCTGCGCAGAGAGGCGAAGCGGCAGAAGCGAAGGGCGGCAAGGGGCGAGGTCTCTGCCGATGGACCACCCACCGTCGCCCCGACGTCCAAGGCCGACCACATCAAGCATGGCGTGGGCCACCGCGTATCAAAGGGCCTCCACTACGCCTCTAGCCAGAGCCGCAACCGCAGAGCCATGGAGCGGTACTCTCCAAACCCGGTCAAGCAGCTCTACGCCCTCAACACGGACCTGCACCGCTCTGGGACTCCGCCCATCGACGGGATGACGGCCGAACGCCGCGGCAGCACTGGAGGACCCTTTTCGGCCATCTCTCCTACCATGTCGAGGAGCGGGCAGAGCATCACCGGCGGCCGTCGAGGCTCGCTCGCCAACAGCAGGCGCAGCTCCTTTGCCGAAACCGAGCGGGACCACGACGCGACGACGCTCAGCATCGGACAGGCCGTTGGCGAAGATTTCGAGGGCGGCCACGTCCTCGGGCGGTGGAACACCCAGATGTCGATGGCGAGCTCGATGGGCAGCTTTCGCAGGTACATGCGCGCGCCAAACGTCCTGCGCAAGCGTCGTCAGGGCAAGTGGGAGGCCGAGATGGCCGCCATCGAAGCGGCCGCAGGAGGTACGCCCACCGCGCAGGCCGACCCGGAAAAGGAGCTCGACCAGATGCTAGGCAAGCTCGCCGCTGAACAGGCCCCGCGCGATGCTGGCAAGGAGAGATACGAGTTCGACGTCCTCTACGAGAACCAACGAGGGTGAGTCGCTAGCGCCCGGCCGCTCGCCATGCCATCCTTGAGCTTCGCACTGACGCTCGCACTGTCCGACGCTGCCGCTCGCCTGCAGCCTTCTCGTATTCGGCATCCCCAAGTTCAGCCCACGCACCCTCTTTCAGTGGGACCCCTCGCCCTGGACGAGCGCCGACAACAAAAAGTCGCCCTACAACATCGCCAACGCGCAGCTGCCGGACCCCTCGTGGGACTGGATCTATCCCGAGTGGCTGATCGACATGACGGGCGACACCGACGAGGCCGGCTGGCAGTACAGCGGCAACTTCGGTCGCCGCTTCTGGCCCAACGTCCACTTTCCGCACGGAAAGCTCGGGCTGCCCCGCACCGGCATGGACGGCATCACCGAGATGAATGCGCGCCTGGCCGAAAAGCAGGCCAAGCGCGAGGAGAAGGAGCGGCAGCGCGAGGACGACGGGCTCGAGGCGCTGAAACGCTCGGCCCGCGCCAAGTCGGACAAGTGGCAGGGCACGCCCGACCCTTGGACGTTTGTGCGCCGACGGCGATGGATCCGTCTCCGTCGCCGACGGCCACTCGCTACGGCCGAGACGGCGGCCGAGGCGTCCAGGGAGGCCAAGGAAGCATCGCCGGGGCAGGAAAAGCTCACCGTCCCGGCGTCCGATGGCGCCCCGACGGCCCTCACGGACAACGACTCGTTCCTCGGCACATCAAGCTCGCTCTCGGGGTCTGACGAGGAGGACGAGGAAGAGGACGACGGCGAGCAGAGCGACGGACGAGACTATGCACCTGCTGGAGCGGGGCCCTCGACGTTCTTGCCGAGGCGATTGCCAGGCAACCTCGCCAACGGTTCGGACCCGTTCAAGTTCAAGAAGGACGTCGTCAGGACCAGGCGCGCGCAAAGGCACGCTAAGGAGTTCACGGGTACCCTCAAGGAGCTCAAGAGCCTGCTGCCCAGCCTTTTGGACGGCGAGCGAGAGGACCGCGCGACGAGGCCGCACCCGGACGGCCACCATGGCGGCGTCTCGAAGGCAGCCATGCTCAAGCTCAACCGCATCGACGCTCGCAACCCGTTCATCAGCTGGAAGCTGGTCAAGAGCCGGCTCGAGGACGCCGACATGGCGTTTGCCAGCGCCACGCTAAGGGCGAGGGAGAAGCGATACCGGCGGCGGCAGAACGAGGAGCTGGCGCGCAGCCGTAGGGCCAAGGCCGCGGCTGGCGACGGAGGCTCGAGGTCGATTCCCTCCCAATTTCTGGCGGACAAGTCGATGCAGAGCTCGGGCGTCGGTGGCGGTGGAATCGCCGAGGCTGGCTCGGCAAAGACCAGCAGGGCCGCCAACCTGCAGGAGCACGTCGACGAGGCTACGTCGCTGCCGGCCTCGAGCGGCGCGTTCAAGGAGCTGACGCGCGAGGCGCTCATCGAGATCAACTACAGCCGGGCGTTGCGCGTGCTCAAGGCGTGCAAGCTCGACCGGCAGAGGCTGGAGCTGTGGAAGCTGTGGCTGGGCGTCGAGTCGCTCGACACGCTCATGGAGAACGCGAGGGCGCTGGATCCGCGCGAGTCGATCGAGGCCGCCATGGGCTCGCCCTCACCGCCGCCCTCGCTTTCGGCCCATCGCCTCAGCAGCGTCAGCGGCGGCGGTGGCGGCGTCTACTTTAGCGGCGGCAGCTCGTCGCGCCATCGCCAGCGCGCCGACAAGGCACGGACGCGGTGGCGCGCGACGGTGAGCGGGCCGGACAGCAGCGACGTGTGGGACGTGCTGGAGCGGAAGCTAGACGACGTGCTGCTGCTGTTTGAGTTCCAGTCGAGCCGGGCGGCGCTGCTGCGCAGCCTGCTGGCCATGCACGCCCTCTCGCACCCGGAGCACGTCTACCGCGATCGGTCGTTGCGCTCCAACCCGATCGAGCTCTCCCCAACGCACGTCCACGGCTCACCGCAGGAGATGGGGGGCGCGCAACCGCCACCGCCGTCGCAGCAAGTCCGGCAGGGGGCATGGCAGCGCTCCGGCCTGCCTCGGCTCGAGTTCTTCTCGGACGTCCAGGCGCTCCTGGATGCGCTGCCCGGTCCGGGTGCCGCCGAGACCGAGGCGCGACGCACGAGGATGGGCGAGCTGCAGGACGCGTCGGTTTCGTCGCTCGACGTCCTCCTCAACGCCACCACCACCGACCTCGCCGACGTCCTGCACCTGCACCCCCCCGCCGCCTCGTCTTCGTCGACGACCCACTCGCCTTCCGTCACGCCTGCCCCTCCCTCTTCGTCGTTGTCGAATCGTGGTGTCGGAGGAGGAAGTGCTGCTGGCGGAGGGACAGGAGGAAGGGGGAGAAACGTACCCAATCGAGCCGGATCAGTTTCACCGTTCCGCTCCTCTCCCCCCCTCTTCCGGGCCGGCGACGATGGGAGCCGCCAAGAGGACCCCGTCCGTCACCGGACCCGCTTCCCCCTCCTCTTCACCCACACCACCTCCTCCCACCGCCACCACCACTACTGCTGCCGTGCAGAACCAATTGTGCGTCCCGCCACTCCGACACCACGGCGGTGGCGGTGGCGGTGCCAATGTCGTATCCCGCTCTACCTCGCCCTCGCCCTCGCCCTCGCCCTCTATGCCGGTCGGAACGAACACAGCCATTCCGCAGCGCACCACTTCGGTCCCGCCCCGTCCTACCCAACGGCATACCGGCGGCTCGACCGAGTAGCGTCGCCACCCTGCCAGCCCATGGCCCCGTCTCGCCGGGTGACTTAGCGCACAATACGGCGCCGTGGCCGCCGCAACTTCTGTACCCCACCGTCGCCCGCCAGCTCCCGACCGCTGGGCGGCTCGGCTTGCCCTGTTCCTACCACAGACTCAGACGACACGCGTCCACACCCTCGTTTTTTTCAATACCGGCCCTTGCGACGACGACGGTCGTGCACGGCTTTCAATTGCGCGGCCCGCTTTGTTCTGTGGGCTGCCCTTCCTGCCTGTGCCCGCCCCCGCCCGCGCTCATCGTCGCGCAGCCTGACTGAAGTGCATCGGCGTCGGGCTGGGCGCCGAGTAGGTATCGTCTCTGCCGCACGGGCAACCCGGGGTCGAATGGCGAGGGAGAAGACGGGATGGTGGCGTTAGTACTTTGGGCAAGGCGGGGGTGTGTGCCGGTCTCGACGTCACGCATCCACGACGGCGGGCCGGGCCGGGCCGGGCCGAGCCGAGCGAGGGCCGACTGACTCACCGATCAATCAAAGGCCGACCGCCGTGTACGGTGCCCATCTCGTCGACCTGGCCCCAGACGACAAAGTCTCTTGCTGCACCGCCACCTTCTCCATCGCCCGCTCCTCCTCGTCTCGCACCTCCGCCCGCCGCCGCTGCCGCTGCCGCCGTCGCCGATGACGAGGAGGACGGTGCGAGCGAGCTGAACGGGTTCCTCAGCCCCGCACCACCGCCGCCACCGCCGCCACCGCTCGCCCCCTCGTCGCGCGGCTGGGGCTTGGGCACGCCAAACAGCGTATCGTCCTCGATGCTCCTCGCCCCACCGCCGCCGACGCGCGAGTTGGAGGAGAAGCTAGACGTCGACCAGCCCGTCCCCGTCGCCGTCGCCGTGACGTTGGCGTTGCCCGGCTGGTTGTTGTAGTTGTTGGAAGACGAGGAGAAGCGAGAGCTCGCCACGGATCCCGGCGCCTGGAGACCGCCGTCGTCGTCTTCGTCGTCCTCCTCGTCATCGTCGTCCGAGTCGAGCGACGAGTCCTCGGACGAGTCTTCGTCCTCCTCCGGCAGCGCGTGCACCGCCGCCCCTCCGCCTGCGGCAGAGGCGGCGGCACCGCCCATCTGCGACTGGAGCGCCACTGCGCTCAGCTTGGTGCCGAGGTTGGCAGGAACCTCCTGTTCCTCCTCCTCGTCGTCGTACCCGTCATCGGACGAAGAAGGTCCCATCGCCCGTCGTCCTCGTCCCGTCGTGAGACCCTCGTCTTCGTCCATCAGCATCGCCGCCGCGCTGCTGGCTTCCGACCCGTCCAGACCGGCGCCGGCAGGTCCACGGCGCAACAGGCTGCCGCTCGAGTTGGCGGCAAACGACCCGGCCTGCGGAGTCACCTCGGGTGTCGTCGACATGCGAGGCCTCGACGACGTCGCGCCGCCACCACCAGCTGCCGAGAGCGACGGACCCCTCTTGGTCAGCGTCGGCGGCGTCGGCATGGAATCTCGACGGCGATGCCGTCCCGCCGCTGCTGCCGCCCTGTCCACGGCCTTCGCTTCCCTCTTGCTTCGCTGCAGTGGCGTGTCTACGGGACCTGCAGGCCGGGCCGAGCCTGCCCGCGGCGGGTGGCTGCTGCTGGCAGTGCTGGCGGCGCTGCCGGGTGCGGCCGAGTTGCCCCTTGGCTGGCCCGGCGTCTCCCTGCTGCTGTTTGCGCGGCCTTTCGACGTCGATGCCGAAGCCGGCGCTCGAGGATTGGCCTGTCCGACCGACCTCGTGGCGCCTACGCTCTTCAGGAGATCCTCGACCATGAGCTTGGCCGCCTCCTTGGCCGGCGTCTTCGCGTACTTGCTCTGCGGCACCGAGAACTGCATCGTCATGGGCGGAGACATGCCTGCCGGCCAAGCATACGAGTTGTTGTCCTCGCCATCCTCTTCTGCCGAGTCCCACTCCGACCCGTTGTCGCGCCGGCTCGGTTCTTTGCCTCGGTTGCCGCTGGCACCGCCGCCGTTGTTGCCGGCGCTGCCCTTGCTCTTTTGCATTCTCGAGGTGAGCGGCGTCTTTCGCAGGTCCACGATGCCGTTCCACATTTTGACGCTGGCAGGCTGCGCAAACGGGTTCGAGGCAGACGAGCTGCCACGCGGAGTCACCTCGAAGCGTGGCAACGAGTCGCGCGGCCGGCGGCCTGAGCCGCCGGCATCGCGCTTCCGCTGCTCCGAGTTGAGCACCTTGTTGAGCAGCGGACCGCGGGACCGCGGCGTGGTGGCGGCAGGCCGCTTTGCGTGGCGGCCGGGCGAGCTAGAGCCGATCGGCTTCGAGAGTCGCGGAGGCGGTGCGATCGAAGACGAGCCGGAGACGTCGCCTGCGCCGTGGTATCCGGTGCGAGAGATGTCGAGGTTCTCTACGTCCTGTGCCAGCTGCGAGCGATCCACCTCAATGGTCTGGTCGTTTGTGACGTCGTCGTAGTAGACGCGGTTGGCACCGCTGCCCCTGGATGCAAGGGCCGATTGCTTTTCGTGGGCGTGGAGGATGCTGTCGTTGTTGCTGTCGTCTGGTCGGCCCAGATCCTGGGTGAGATCACGTCGCAGCCTCTCAAACGGCGACTCTGTCGGATCGGCAAACGAGGCGTCGCCGCCATCGAGGTCCTGCTGCTGCTGCTGTTGTTGTTGTTGCTGCTTCTTCTTGTCTGCCTCGCGACGGGCCGCTGCCGCCATCGAGGCATTGCTGAAGCGAGGCGGCGAGCTGCGACGCGGGCCAGCCGCAGCCGAATCAAAGGCGCTGATCTCGCCGCTGTCGTCGCCTGTTGCCGCCGCGCCGTGTCTGGCGCCCCTGCGAGGGTGGGGCTGGTCGATGGATTGGTCGTAGAGCTCGGTGCCGGCGTCGGAGCGGGGCGAGGCCGTGACGTCGTCGCTATGGAAGGTGGTGTGCGCCTCGGACTCGCCGTCGAGCGTGGTGCTCTGCTCGTACGAAGCGTTGCCCTGGCCCGTATCTCCGTCGTCGTAGCCGTCGCCCTGGTCGTCTACGCGGGCGGTGAGGGCGACGTCGGCCGAGACCTCGAAGAAGTGTTTCCAGAACTTGGCGCCCTGCCACGTGCGAGCGCTTGCGACGCCGTACCGGTTGACGGCCGGGAGGATGCGGGATGTGACAATCTGGTGGCAGGTGGTGAAGTTCTGGTCGATCTCCTGGAGGACAGTGGTGATCTCCTGGTCGAGCTGGAGGATCTGCGTCGAGATGGGCACGTTGGCGGGGCCAGAGGACGAAGTGGCCGTCGATGCGGCCATGTCGATGCCGCCTGGCCCGCCCGGGTAGAGCGACTGTCTGGGCTGGCCGTACATGCGAGCGTCGATTGACCGAGTGGGCGGATGAGTGGAGAGGCGGTGGGGCTGTCTTTGGCTTGTTTTATCAAAGACGTCGTTTGCCAAGGAGGGTGGAGAGGGCGGATGGCAGTTGTGCGACGAGTGTCCGGCTGCCTGACGGCAATCTGATGTGCAATGCAGAATGGATGGACTTGCTGCTGTGTCAGCGGCGTCGGCGTCGTGATCGACCGGAAACGAGGCGGAGCGGCGGATGGTGGTGAGAAACGAGGCAGCGCTGGGCCCAGAGCGAGGTGTTGGGCCGTCGCCCCGAGCTCCTTCTGAGCTGGCCCGCATGCACACGCGCGCGCGCACCGACACGCCTGGCAGGCAGGCCTGGGCTGCCCTCGGCTGCCAGACAACAACACCTGCTCTTCCCTGCGCTGCTTGCCTTTTTCCCTGGTCACCCAATGCGCGCGACGCGCCCTGCCACTCACCAGCCAAGCAAAGGCAACGGGCACACACACCAACAGGCTCACCGCACCATCCACCAAACACCCCAAGCCGCTGCGACTACACAACACACCACTCTGCTCTGCTCAGCGGGCCCAAAAAGGTGATGGATTCAGCGATATAGACAGACCGTGGCAATAGCTACTTCTGCGAGGACCGACGAGGCTTGGAGACACTGAAGAGACGACAAAGAGAGATGCTACGAGATACAGACGAGAGAGATGGAGGCTTGACGGGCGAACGCTGAAAGGACCACAGGGATAGATGACAAGAGACATGGACCATAACTTAGCGGCAGGTGGCGATCGCAGCAGGGATCAAGGCTGCTGCAGCGCGGCGCAGCGGGCGATGAAGGCCAGAATGGCGCCGGCGCTCAGGTGGAAGCGGACGGGCGCCAGGCTCGACGCCTCAGCATACACGACCGCCCAGCCGCTGCCGGGAACGGGGTTGTGTGCCGACAAGAGCGGCGCGCTGGCACCGACCGCAGCGCCTTCCCTCGGCGAGGCGGCGAGGATCGTACCAGTCGCGCCCTCCGATCCGCCCCGGAGCGACGACGTCGACGACGAAGACGTCGAGACCGAGAGGCTCGAGGACCTCGACAGCCCCAGAGCTCCTTCGGGACCCGAGAGTGCGTTGGCGCTGACCCGGGAACCACTGTCGCGTCGAGCGGCGGCGACTTCGGGAGGAACGATTCCTTGCGCGAGCGACATCGATCGAGGTCGGTGGCACCGCACAAAGCCCGGCCCACCAACTGCGGCAGAGATGGGCGGAGATGCGGCCGACGAAAAGGAGCTGGCCAGCACCGAGCTCGAGGGCGACCTCGACTGCTGGTTCGCCCGAGCAGGTACCGCTAGCGGGTCGGCGCCCTCACCAGCCGTCGAAGCAAACACCTTGGACAGCGAGGTGCCGCTAGCTCCGCTCGAGCTCGAGCCCGGTCCCCTGCTGCGAGGCGCCGTCCAGAACGAGGTGCTTGATCGTCGATGGTTGACCGGCTTCGACGCCGAGCCATAGCCTTGACCTTGGCTGCCCGCACTCTCATCGTCTTGGACGGCTGTAGCTTTGCCGCCGCTTCCCTTGACGTCGACGATGCCAAAGTGCCATGGGCTCTGCTCCTTGGTGGGCGACGACGGCGAGATGGTCGAGAGCGGCGGCGTCATGGCCGGGATCAAGTCGTCGAGGACAAAGATGCCCTTTGCCGACGTGGTTTGCATCAGCGACACGGCCCGCGATAGCTGCGAACTGAGGCTGATGCTGACGGCCGGGTGGGTGTCCTTGCCGTCGGTACCTTCGGGTCGCCTCGAGCGCAGCGTCTTGACCAGCGTGGCCAGCGGCGTGTTGAGAATCTTTCGGCTGTCGGCCCGGATCACTTCGAACGCCAGCTCGGCCGACGAAAGGGGCGAGAGGAGGACGCCGCGCGCGTCGAGGATCGCCAGGCTGTCGAGGGCTTCGGCGTGCATCAGCGTCATGGCATCCAGCACCGACTTGTCGCTGCTGATCGGAGTGGCTGGGCTGGTGAAGCTGAGCGAAGAGAGCTCATCCAACCTCTCGGCCAGCACCGCGGCCAAAGCCTCGTCCCTCTTGGCCTCTCGAGATAGGAAGTCGAGCAGGTCGGTTCGACTGATGAGGCCGAGCGGCATGTCTGCGGTGTCCAGAGCGCCCGAACCCTTTTCGCCGGCGCTGGCATCATCTCGCGCTGTCCTGGTGACCACCACGTGGCTGACCCCGGGCTCGATGAGGCGAGTCAGGACCTCTTCTAGGGTGCTGCTGGGCGGTACAGCGCGCAGCTTGTTTGAGCCGCTCAGGTTGGCAATGAGAGCTGCGGGCACTTTCTTGTTGGCCTTGATCAGGGCGGCGATCTCTGCGGCCTGCTTCGAAAGTGGGCCGACGGGATACAGAGGCCGTCCTCTACCTGCGCCGGGGGAGGAGGGGGGCGAGGTGAGCCAAGAAGCTCTGCCGGCAGTCTCCTTGCTTGGCGAGGGGCAAAAGAGGAGGCACAGGAAGCTGTGCACGTCTTCTAGGTTGAGCAGGCTGCCGTAGCCTTCGACCCGAGAGCCGCTGATTCCGCCTCCTGCCTCGTCGGCCGAGGCACCGGGACGTTGCGTTGATCCTTGGAGGAGAAGAGGCGTGGCACGACCTGGCTCCTTTGCCAGCTCTTGGCAGGCCATATCTACGTCGGCATTGGCGGGGAGGACAGCGAGGGGTCGAGTGGCCGTCGGGCATTCGTCGAGGAAGCCCTTGGCGGTGATCGACCTGAGCGCGGTACGGAGGGCCTCTGCACGTTTGCCATCGACGGGCATGATGCCCGGTTCGACGCCGCGCTGCCGCTGCTCTGCATCGATGGAGCCTTCGCCGAAGCGGGAAGCGTTGTAGGCGGGTCCGGGCAGGAGGAGCTCGGTGAGGACTTCGATGCGGCTGGCTCGGCGTCCGTGCCTGGACTGGTTGACCTGTTTGGGCGAGCTCGAGACCGGCAGCGGATCGACGACGACGCCGGCGGCACTGTTGTTTCGGAAGAGCTCTGCAGCCTTGCGGCTGCCCGCTCGCGGCGAGCGCGAGGGCGAGGAGCGGTTGATGGCGATGGGCACGGCGACTGAAGTCGACATCTCGAGCCGTCGTCGAGGCAGGGCCCGGAGGCGGGTGTCTAGCGTCTAGGCTGGAAAGGGCAGCGCGAGGTTGTGCAGCCCGTCGGCGGGTTCGTCGAGCGTGGTCGTCAAGATGGTCGTATGGCGGGTCCAGGTGGGAGATGCGATTGGAGATGATGGTGGACGGGGGAGGTGCGAAGGCGGTGGTCGTTGGCAGCGGCGAAGTCGAGTGCCCCTCTTGGTCGGTGACCCAGGCCGAGAGCTCTTGTCGGTGAGGAAGGGGGAGGAGCAGGATGAGGTGTCGGTGGTGCTGCAGCGCTGTGGGCGCTGGCTGGGAGCCGCAGCTGTGCGATGCAAAGCCGCTTTGGAAGGAGGCTTTGGGTGACCTCGCCTCGTACGGAGCGGGTAGGCCAAGCAGCCTAGGGCGAGCGAACCCAATTGTGCTGAACGAAGCTCGGGCGGGCCAGGCAGGCAACGGGTGAGCCAGCGTTGCCGTGATGCTCGCTCATGTTTCAACGGCTTTGCAGGGACGCACGAGATAGGGTCGGTCGAGGGGGAGCCTGGACCCGGTGCGCTGCTGAGGATGGTCAAGGCCGGGCAGAGGCAGGCCATCCAGAGGCAACGCTGGGGAGCGAGGCGGGCAGGTGTCACAAGGCCGCTCGCCAAGGGGGCGCCATATGCATAGGAGCAGCCTGCGTGAACCGGGCCCAACTCCGCCTGCCTGACTGCGTTGGCTGGCCCTCGAGCTCGAGCCGCCCGCAGACAGGCGAGCGCCGGTCCATGCAGGCGAATTGCGGGGTGCAGCCGGCGCTTCTGCATCCCCACAGCAGCAGCGGCAGCGGCAGCAGCAGCAGGCTGGGCCGGCTAGGCGCTCGACGCTGCCTGCTGCCCCGTGCCATGATGGCAAGCAAAGCGACCCCGGTCAAGCCTCGCCTCGCCTCGCCTCGCCCGCGCGAGTTCTACCGCCCAGCAGGCTCACCAAAGTCTGCTGCTACGGTACTTTACCGCCATCTCAGCCGCTGAGCCCGTTGGGCCACCGACCCTTCTGACCTTAGCTTGCCCGCACGCCCGCCCGCCCCCCCGCTCTCACGCAACGCTTAGCTTGTCGCTTGTTTTTCTCTCAGGGTCCCTCCCGTGGTGGGCAGCCCCGGTTCGGCCTGCTGCCTCCTGTCTCCTGCCCTGGATCCGGCGTATGGACAAGGTGCTGGCACCGCACGCATAACGAGGGGCGGAGTCGCTGTACGTGGGCCAGCTTCGGCGTCCTCTATCTCTGCCTGACAACGGGCCATCACCGTGGCCTCTATCTGCTGTGCCGTAACTGCCCTTTCTCGCTCCACCTTGCTTGCTTGCTTCGGCTTGGGTGCAAGTCACAGGTGTCGGCGTCGATGCGCTTAGCTTGCTTGCTCGGGCTGGCCCGCCGCAGACTAGCCCGCAGGTGCATCCGCAACCGAGGCAGCCAGCCATCAGCGGCAGCAGCCTGACTAGGGGCCGGTCCATGAGCAGCCAGCACGTACGTACGCCGCCCTGTTTCATCAGCATCGTATCGCAACAATGCGGTCCGGGGTCGACCGCCTGCTGGGAAGCTTTCTGCGGGTCAATTCTCACACCACAGAGCTCTCTGCCGGGCAACAGAGGTCCCAAAGAGGTGCGTCTCCTGTGCCGGATCGTTAACGTTGTTGTGCGTGCCGTGACCACCAGGCGTCGCCGTCGTCGCCCAGTTTCTCCCGCCTTTGCCACGGGCGATTCGTGCTATGGGATTTTGCCGAGAGCATGTCGGCACCTCATCAAGTCGCGGCGTGCTTTCATCCGACGTGCGCCGGCGGTCAACCTAGCCTGCGCCGGCGTCATAGAGTAGGGTGTGCGCAACACCCTCTCTGTGGTCGCCTGCGTCACAGCGGGCGAGGGGCTGAAGACGATACAGTAACGTCGGCGTCGACGTCAAGCCGCCGACTTCCTCGCGGTGTAAGCGAAGCTACCCTAGCGCGCGCATCGCCAAAGGTGTCCGGATGGCTTGCAGAAGGTTACTCTGGGGCTGTTGACCGCGGTGCAGGTCGCAGCCATGCCCGGATGAACTGGTTCGTAGCCCGTTCCTCCAGCGCGCCTGGTTCGTCTCCTGCTGCTCGTGGTGGGTGTCCGCTGCTCGTCACTCGCCTGGCCCGCCGCTCTTGCGACGATAGGTGAGACCTGCCTGCCTCGTGTGCAGGAGATCCTTTGTGCCGGGGACCGGAGCACAGGCATGTTGTTCAGGACCAAGATGGCAGCGGCCTCCCACGTCGTCGCCCTGTGTCGGTGCCATCGCCGTGCGAGTCGTCGGTGGCACGGGCACAGGGCGACCCAGCGCGACCTCTCAGCCGGAGCCAGCCCTTTCTCGCGCGAGAAAACAATTTTAGACTCACGAGAAGAAGTTGGAGTCACCGGCGGGCGGTCCGCTGCCTTCTTCTCCACACGCAAAACCGGAAAACGGGCGGGCAGGCAAGCAGGCAGCGGCAGTTCAACGCTCGACACGCTCCTCGAACCCAACCACCAACGACCATCGCCCAGCCTCAGCATACCCCGCCATCGCCAGCAGCGACCGCGCCACCTCACCTTCCGTCCACCACCACCTGCACCGCCCCTCCGAATCCTCACAGTCCCACGCATTCCCCACCATGGAGCAGAGAACCGTCGGCGTCCTGGGCGCGGGCCAGCTCGGCCGCATGTTTGTCGAGGCCGCCTCCCGCCTCAACGTCCAGGTCAGGCTGCTCGACGTCGGCGACACGGCCCCCGCCAAGCAGATCAACTACGCACCCAACGCAGAGGGATCCGGGTCCGAGCACGTGGATGGCAGCTTCGTCGACCCGCAAAAGATCCGCCAGCTCGCATCCAAGGTCGACATCCTCACCATCGAGATCGAGCACGTCAATGCGCAGCAGCTCCAGCAGGTGCTCGACGAGAAGCTCGTCGACGCCGTACACCCCCTGCCATCCACCATCGCCCTGATCCAGGACAAGTACGCACAAAAGGTCCACCTCTCGGAACGCGGGCTCCCGCTCGCCGACTACATCGCCGTCGGCCCCGAAGAGGTCACCGCCTCGTCCGACGCCGCAGTCACCAGCAAGGCGCAGGAGCGGAGCGTCGCCGAGGCCGGCAGTGCTTTCGGGTACCCGCTCATGCTCAAGTCCCGCACCCAGGCCTACGACGGCAAGGGCAACTTTGTTGTCAAGTCGCCCGAACAGGCCGCCGAGGCCGTCGCGGCTCTCGGCGGCGGCAAGCGCGGCCTCTATGCCGAGAAGTGGGCGCCGTTTGAGCGCGAGATCGCCGTCATGGTGGTGCGCAGTGCGACTGGCGAGGTCCGCGCCTACCCGGCCGTCGAGACGGTGCACCGCGACAGCATCTGCCACACCGTCCATGCCCCTCTGCGTGTCCCCGACGCCGGCGTCGAGAGGCGGGCGCGCGAGATCGCCCAGCAGGCCGTGGCGACGTTTGGCGGCGCCGGCGTGTTTGGCGTCGAGATGTTCCAGATGCCCGGCGGCCAGCTGCTCATCAACGAGATCGCCCCGAGGCCCCACAACAGCGGCCACTATACCATCGAGGCCACCGAGACGAGCCAGTACGAGAACCACCTCCGCGCCATCCTCGGCATGCCGCTGGGCAGCACCGCGCTCAAGGTGCCGTCGGCGGCGATGATCAACATCCTCGGGCTGGCCGACTCGGACAAGGACGCCGAGGCCGTCGCCAAGACGCTCGCGCCCGCCGCCGTCAGCCTCGACGTGCCCGGCGCCACCTGCCACCTGTACGGTAAAGCCGGCTGCCGCAAGGGGAGGAAGATGGGTCACATCACCATCGTCGGGCAGAGCGACGCCCAGGTGCGCGAGAGGCTGGCCATTGTCGACCGCGCGCTCGACGAGGCGACCGAGCTGGCCAAGACCGGCGCCAAGCTGCCGAAGCGTCTGACCTTGGCGGGCGTCAGCGACGAGGCCGCCGCCGTTGCTTCGTCTTCAAAGGCGGGAGGAGCAGCGGGCGCAGCCAAGACCAAGAGCGCGGCCGACTTCTCGCACCCGCAGCCGCTGGTCGGCATCATCATGGGCTCGGACAGCGACCTGCCCGTCATGCTGCCCGCCGCCGAGATCCTCAAGAAGTTCAATGTGCCGTTTGAGCTGACGATTGTCAGCGCACACCGCACGCCGGACCGCATGCGCACCTACGCCCGCAGCGCGCCGGCTCGGGGTCTGCGCGCCATCATCGCCGGAGCGGGCGGAGCGGCCCACCTGCCGGGCATGGTTGCGGCGCAGACGGCCCTGCCCGTCATCGGCGTACCCGTCAAGGGGAGCGTGCTCGACGGCGTCGACTCGCTCCACAGCATCGTCCAGATGCCGGTGAGTAATAGGAGCGGTGGCCAATGTCGGAGAGATGCTGTGCGACAGACCAAAGCAGACCGACTGACACTGATTCTCCTTTGCCTCGACGACGCCGCGCAGCGAGGCATCCCCGTCGCGAGCGTGGCCATCAACAACAGCACCAACGCCGCGCTGCTGGCCATCCGCATCCTCGGAGCCGCCGACCCGTCGTACCTGGAAAAGATGCAGGCCTACATGGACGAGATGGAGGACGAGGTCAACGGCAAGATCCAACGGCTCGGCGAGCAGGGGTGGGACTACGTCGTCAAGAAGTAGCCAGGCCGTTCCTCGGAGCCGGCGTCCTTGCTTGTCGAGGTCGAAGAGTCGAAGAGAATAGAGTTTCGATTCCGGATCATGTTTTTCCCCCCCTCTCTCGAAGAGATGGAGCATCGACTGAGCTGGCCGGCGAGTGGGCATGGGCTGCAGATGTCTGGCTGTCGGTCCGATGTTGCATGCTCGCAGCGCGCTCCGATGTTGCTGCACGGTCCGTCGCAGCGACGCCAGGCCGGCATGCCGATGACCAACGGGTAGCGGGGCCGACGCGACCGGGCGTCTTTCCGAAGCAGAGGCGACATAGCCGGCGGTCGGCGTGCCTGCCCTGCCTGGCCTGGCAGTTAGGTTCGCTCGCTCGCCCGATCCTGCCTGCTGTAGCGGCTGTGAGACAGAGCAGAGAGCGTGGGGGACGACGAGGGCGGGTGAGACAGGAGCTGGCATCCGAAGCCGAACGACGGATGGGCCGCCCGCCCATCCCGAAGTCGCTTTGCGTGCCTGCCTGCCTGCCTGCCTGCCTGCCTGCTTGCCTGCCTGCCTTCCCATCCAGCAGGCTCGCAAGCAGGTTGGAGGGGCGGCAGGATGGCGGGCCAGCCCGCCCCATCTACCGACCGACAGCCAGGCGGGTCACCATCGCAGCGGAGTTGATGCTCCAGGTCAGGAGACGAGGCCTGGCCTGCCTGCCGGTGAAGGCGCGCGGTGAGCAGGCCCCTCTATCGCCGCTGCTGTCTGTCGACCGGGTCAAGGAAGGAGCGAGGTGAGCGAGCCCGCTCCGCCGTCCCTTGCCAAGCCGAGCTGCAGCCTCCAACTTCCGCTCAGACGGAGAGTCGCTCCCATCTTGGTTGCTTGGTTCTCAGCTCGATACCAACGCCGAGCCAACCCCCTGGCCTCTTGGTCCCGCGTCGCAAAGTCATGCCGCCAGCCACGCGATGCCTTGCCTGCCTGCCGTGTCCGCTGCCTTTGCCCACGCCATGTCATCGAACCGTCCGTCCAGGAGCGAGGCTTCGAGCGCGGCGAGCGGGCGGGCGGGCGCGATCTCGCAGGCAGGCCCCAAGAGGCCGCAGCTGCTCGTTGTCATTTTTGCAACTCCGTTGCATCCGTACCTCGACGCGATCTCATGTTGTTTGCCGGCGAATGAAGGACGGGCAAGGCCGCGCCGGGGCCGTTTGTCCGCTCGTCGTCGCTGCAGCGTCTATGGAGCCCGATGGACGACCGGACGAGGTGACGACCAACAAGCGAGCGACTCGATAGCCGGCCAAACGACATCGGAGAGGGCCCCGTCAGAGCGCCGGCTAGGCGGCCCTCTCTCTCCCCCACGCTCACACCCTCTCTCGATCTCGACCGCCTTATCTTTTTTCCTTCCGGCAGGCAAACGCTCGCCTCGCCTCGACTCCGTCATGCGATGGCGCGCTCGACATCGTCGACATCGCCATCGTTCGGCCGGCGACTTGCTGCCTGCCTGCTTGGCCTCGCTCGCCGCCGTACGCGTTGGAAGAGGCGTTTCGCTTCACACTTTCGCGCCGGCGCTGGCTGGTGGCGCTGGTGCGTGGCTTCCCACGAGCGAAACTCTAAACTTTCCATCCAGCCCTGGCTTGGCTTTTTGCGCCCCTTCGCCCTCGACCCGATCGGACGACGGTGGCGGTGCGATGCGATGCGGTGCGTTGCGGTGCCTGGCCGGCCCTCGACCTCTTTGCTTCCCATCGCTTTGAACAGGACAGGGGCTCGAGGCCAGTGCACGGCAGGATTCCGATGGTGCCTGCGCGGATGGACGTCAGGGACCCCGAGCGGGACGGACGGACGAGCTGGGCCCTGCCTTCCTCATCGGGACGAGACGTTCGAAAAGATCGATGCGCTCCAAACAAGCAAGCAGCAAGCGCCAGCGGGCGGCTCTGCCTAGGCAGGATGGAAGGGATGCGCCGGTAGCGTGGCAGGCAAGCAGCCAGCCTCGCGCCTGCTGGCGGTCTGGCGCTGGCGACCCTTTGCCCCTGCATAAAGGGAAACAGACAGGCTGCCTGCTCGCTTTTTTTCTGGGGTGCCCATCCGGCACCGCTTGGCTGGCTGGCTGGCTGGCTGGACTCGGCATAGAAGCAAGGCGGGGACCCCAAATTCGGCAACCGGGTGGTGGCTGCATTTCGAAACAGGCACGTACGCAAGCCGACCTCGCTCGCTCGTCTGGTGACGGCCGCCTGCCTGGGACCAGGGCCTAGGCGGGCATCCTCGCTGCGTGCTTCCCGGCAGCGGCAGCATCAGACGACACCAACCACCAGCACAAAGGCAGGCCTGGCCGGGCTACCTAGGCATCGAGCGACCCGAGCGCGACCACCCGAGCAGCAGCAGCAGAAAGAGAGGACCATGGTTGCTCGCTCTTCGCCCAGAGTTGGCCGGCCAGCCAGCCAACCAGCCCTTCAGCCGGGTCTGATCCGATGCGCCATGGCCGCCACCGGCGGCGCCACCGACGACGACGACGACGGAAGGCACCGGAAGGGGAGGCATGAGAGATCGAGTGTTGAGGGGCGGCCTGGCCTGCGTGCGTGTTTGATGTGCTCACGTACAGATAGACAAAAGGCCTGGGCTTGGCTAGGCTAGGCCAAGTTACGCTGCGCTGGGACCGCCCGCTCGCACGCACGCCTGGCCGAGGTACGGTCGGTAGGAGGCAGGTGGGGCCAGGCAGGCGAGCTGATGTGACTTCCGGAAGGAGGCTGATGGAGATGATGAAAGGGGCGGCCTGCTAGGGTCGTTGTCGGCGCCGCCGTCGTCGTGGTGGCAGCCCTGGCTCCTAGCTGCTTGCTGGAGCAGACGGCCTGTCCAACGCCCTAATTTCCTGCAGGCGGGGCAGACCCGGGGGGGCCCATACCTGCCTCTGGAATTCGACCAGGCAGGCCCACGACCGCCGCCCGCCACGCCCGCCCGCCGTCTTGACGCAGCAAGGTCATCCTT